AGCTTTAAGCACCAATAAATTCAAATTAAAGGTAATTTCATACTTTAGATGTATATCATGTATTATGCTGGTTTATTATTTTGTTCCGTTTATTGTCAGTAATCGTTACCTTCTATTCTGAGTTTAAACCAGCCATAACTCCGTCACCGTCCAAAATCGGACACATGTTTATATGAACTTTTTTGATCACAAATACCTAGGAAATCACCTCCTGCAGTTATGCCCTAAAGTCGTGAAACACCCTGTATATATATCATCCAAATGCATTCTTTATCAAGACACAGTCTTTACAATATTCAGGTTCACTCACTAGATGCATAAATCATTTCTTCTGTCTTATGTAACTCGTGCTGAACTGTTGTGGCAAAAATGGGTACCAACTAATCAACTGCCAATTCCTTACATGCTATGGTGTCCTCCTCATCTCGTCTTCCTTGACGGCCTTAGTAAAAAATATAAATTTTGAAGGATGAAACAAAAAAATTTTGTGATGCTTCTACTGAACTCGTATTCTTTTTGTAAATACCATGACAGTTTGCAATAACGAGGCTGATTTAAAGTTCCAATGAGATTTTAAAATGCACAGAAGGAAAAACTAAAAGAAAGCATGTGATTTTAAATGTAGGGTTTTTGGAGCAATAAACTATGGAAACTACTACCTAGGGATATCCTTACAATGTATGGATATTAAAATATAATCCAAACCAGTTAAATAACCATACCATTCATACTATAAGAAAATCCTCAGAGAATGTGGTAGTTATTTATAGTACTGAGAAGATGTTTTACAGAAAATGTCATAAAGTGTCAGCTTAACTGCCATACCAAGAAGAAAGTTCACTGTAAACCACGAGAAGAGGCCTTCATCTGATCCATCCATGATAGACACAGAGTTGTCATTTGTCAGGAATGGAGATGCTTTGAACAATTTCCTAACCTAAAATTAAAATAAGTGTTCAAGACTGTACATACAATCAACTTGTGCAAATACAGCAGGATAAGGAGAATCAGATGACATTACTTAGCAACATACCATAAATGTCTGAACAGTATCATACATCACTATTTGCAATTTCTTTTCTAATGCCAGCTGCACTTCAAAACAGGCTACAACAAACAAACATACTTCAATCAAGAAAGGTATGTCAATTTACTGACAAATATTCCACTTGAATTAAAGTATAAAAATATATATATATATATCACCTCTGTCTCTCACATGCGCCTGTACACCCTCTGAAATTGTGTGTTCATGAAACTTGATTGGTGCAAGCCATTCCAACAAGCGCCATGCATGCACATGTTCAGCAGGTGTCTTTAAATATTTACTTACAAATGTGCTAAATGCAAATGAAAACTCACAATTGTATTTACTAATGATAAACAAGAATGCTCTGCTTTCTTATTTATTAGTGCAATTTTATTTTATGAGATATACACTACTGCAAGCTTTATCACAATTTTTATTGCACATTTTTCCTGTTATCTCCCATTGACAAACCCTGGTCTCAGGTTTTTATATATATGTAGTTATGCTGACATAGTTGACCAGTGATTAAGGTTAGCTCTTTCTCCCAGACCCAACAGAGTATGTCCCCCCCCCCCCCGCTTTGGACAGAAACACATCCTGTTTCCAAAACGCTGTGTTCTCCGTTATTTTTAGGATACCAGATGATGGACAAAGTCCAAAACCTTGTAATTCTGAATATTAATGGTAGTTAATTTAATTTCAGATATATTTTTCTTGAAGAAACTTGTGCAAAAGTGTGCTCTATTTCACCTGCATACTATGTACATTGTTCTACACATGACTCACTTCTTCCAGTAAACCTTCAGCCTTCTTGACAGGCAGAAGTCGCAGCCCCGCTGTGGCCTTCATGGCGAGTGGCGTGTTTTTTAATTCTGATGGTGGTATCACCTCCTTAGCTTTTTCCAGCAGCCCTGCTATTGTTTCTGCCCCCTAAAAATGTCATCGCTTAAAAGTATGACAAAATTCTAATTACACATGTTTAGTCTGAGGACTACACACTAAGACAAAAATATTCACATGCCCTATAAGCAAAAAAAAAGGAAACAAACAAAATTATTTGGCTTTGTAGAAAGAAGATTCAGGATATTCATTTGTGGACTGTTTATAGTGTGAATGTCATGTTTGTATGGTATGCCATGAAGCATACTTTTTATATAAACATGACCACATACATATCATGTCAAGATCGAGTGCTTCATACAGTATGCGGGAAGTCTCGAGTTAAAATACTGACCAAGAGTGGCTATCCTGAGTGTCTCCCGAGTCCTTTCCAGTAAATGCTGAAATAGTACCTCAAAATAGGCCATAAGCAGTTCTTTCCATATCCCTTCCAATTCACTGTTCACTACTATCTTATCTTTCAATGTTACTTACTCTTGAGCAACTGAAACAGTCTTTAGGTAAACCAACAATAAATTAGAAAAGGCCACATTACAGTTCTATTATACATGTTTTGTACCATTCACATGCATATTAGATTTTTTTTGACTATATATTTTGAATTTTGAAGCCTGATATACATAATGATTAATAGAAAGGGTGTTTCTTCTAGTGATATGCAATAACAATTCACACCAGTACATCTTTTTCATAAGATATTAAATGAAAGCAATAAATTATTGAGATATGAATACTATAGAGTCTGTGACTACGTAATCCATTAAACTTATGTGAATAATTAAAACAGTGGATCTTCGATATACTGGCCTCGTTATACTACAGATTTGAATACACCATGACAATCATGTCCCACAATACAATTATATACCATAAATACCAATTTCACATATAACTTGGGCACTAAAGCTGTCCCTCTAAACTTGCATTATATCAAGCGTCCACAGTACTTAGGAACTGAATGTGACTAAAGGCTGCAGGATGGCTTCAATACACACTGTTTACCTCCGCTAACTTGAAAATTGATAATGTTTTAAATTTCTGATCAATGGTGTCTGAAAAGGATATGAAATGGTATAGCAATAATTTCTAAGTTCAATATGGTGTCTAATACAGGGCCGATCACAGTGGTTGCATGATCTATGGCATGAACTATCTTCATTCACTCGAACAGTGGGATCATGCGTTTGAATCCACTCGAGGTATGTATGTCTGTGTGCATTTACTCTGTGTTTGTGTTGTTCTGTGTGTAGGTAGCAGCCTTGAGACAGGCTGATCATCTGTCCAGGGAGTCCTACTGACTGTGTACAGGACAGGGATACTGAAAAAGCAGCCAAGGTCCAACAAGGGGCTGCAGAGAGTCTGTGTGAGNTAGCTACTGGCAGGGCCTCCCTTGCTGGACAGGTCAAAGGGTAGGCATCAGACGAAGAGAGACACCAAAAACCAAAAACTGATGCCGGAAGCAGCGTCATCAGCAGCGACTTGAAGCACAGAACAAATGATGCTCGAGATGGTTCAAGTTCGTATAGCAACAGGCGTGACCAGAGTGGTTTGAACGGCTGTTGTACTGCGATGTGGAAAGCAAATGGAAAAACTACCACATTATCACTTTTCCTGGACAGTCTCTTTCCAAAAACAGAAGATCACATTAAGTGGAGGAACTGTTTTGGAAGAGACTGTGGACCTGTCATCTGACAGTTACTGATCAATCAATCCATACAAGAAGAAACTGACTGTTCATTTAGCCAGGCCCAGGAGTTAATGTGCCTAGCATTTAAATATCAAGCAGTAAATATATTAAATGGGATAACCTAATTTTGAATCGTTGTATGAAGAATGATTGTAGGGTAGATGTGAAACACGCCAACACTTATTTGTTCTTTGACTATTTCACAGAGTTTTGTGGGATTCTGGCCATATTCTTTCAATTTTGTCCACATCAGGACATGTTAAAGAGAACTGGAGTCAGAGGAGTTGAGCTTTACCAGTGTTGTCAGTCAACCAATTCTACTGGGTGGCAAAATATCGGCTTCTCTAATGTGACTCAATGTCTTGAGACATGTCTTGCATATGCCAACTAACAGTGCTATCTGACATGGGGATGTTCAAAATCTTTTTCATATTCCTTGCCGAACAANCTTGGCCAGTTGAAAAAAAAATTTAGTCGTTTCTTCAAAAGATGTCATCCAATTGAAACAAAACCTCCAAGGACCACTGTACAAATTTTCATGAATATGAAGGAGTGAAGGGTATTTAAGACCTATTCCATACAAGAAGAAACTGACTGTTCATTTAGCCAGGCCCAGGAGTTAATGTGCCTAGCATTTAAATATCAAGCAGTAAATATATTAAATGGGATAACCTAATTTTGAATCGTTGTATGAAGAATGATTGTAGGGTAGATGTGAAACACGCCAACACTTATTTGTTCTTTGACTATTTCACAGAGTTTTGTGGGATTCTGGCCATATTCTTTCAATTTTGTCCACATCAGGACATGTTAAAGAGAACTGGAGTCAGAGGAGTTGAGCTTTACCAGTGTTGTCAGTCAACCAATTCTACTGGGTGGCAAAATATCGGCTTCTCTAATGTGACTCAATGTCTTGAGACATGTCTTGCATATGCCAACTAACAGTGCTATCTGACATGGGGATGTTCAAAATCTTTTTCATATTCCTTGCCGAACAAAATATTTACAATTTTACAGCATGCTGGTAAAATTATTGACTCAGTAATTGTATGTGATTTCATCTTTATTGCCACAATTTTGGCAAGGGCATAGCTTGCTTCTTGAGCTCGATCAGAAATAGTTGCGATCTTGGTCCACTGTTTAGCCTAGAGTGTTTAATCAGCTATAAGCCTTTTAAAACATTTGACTGGTTTCTAGCACAAATGTGAGTGTTTTGTGGGAAGATGTCTCTTCAGCATACTTGGCACCATGGCTTGATTGCTATTTTCTCATCACAAACAACACATTTATGATGTGGCTGCTCTTCTCCTGAAGAAACGAATCCAAAGGACAAATAATCTTCATTATATTGCAACATGACGATTTTAGAACACTAACTGTACTATGTGTGATACTGCCATAACTAGTGCCAGCCACACTTCATTATTATCTAACTTATGTTTTTTAATTATGAATCTGCCCATGTCCAAGAAACCCTAAAAAATAGAAATAAAAATCAACTAAATTCAGAAATAACATACAAAAATGCATTAGCGAAAACTCACATGGAATAATACTCCCAATCTGAACATCTGACTGAAGACTGACACTGGTGGCTTGACAAGGATGAAACATGAGATGGTAAAAGAACATTGGATAGTTATTTTGGGATCCAGAACATTTGGGACAGAAGTTCTCAGAATTTTACTCTAATAACTTTTTGTTATTAAACTGTTACTGTTTTCATTTTTATCGGCCTTTTACAAAAAAATATACAGTACTTCTAAAATTTATCAACAGTTTTTTATTCAACTGTTTTTTCTTGCTTCTTTTTGTTCTTCCCCAAACTCTCGTGGCACACCTGCAGATCCTCTGTGTCACACCAGTGTGCCACGGCACACCAACTGAAAATCGCTGCATTAAGACTTTATATCAAATCTTCTATTTTATCATTATCTCTTTAGCTCCTCATTCTCTATATCAAACTACACTTGGACTCAACTGGTTATCTTATCATATAAGGTTCTCTTCAGTAGACATATGTAATCAAATACATATGGTCAATATTAAACTATATGAGTGTCAGCTCTATGACTCAGGACTATTCTTGGCTGTTCAACATCAGAGGGTATATATAAATTACCTTTGTTGGGTTGTCAGAAAAAGAAGAAAGACCTGGTTTTACTTCGATAAACAGCTCATGGTCTAATTTCAAGTTCTTATCTGTGGAAGAAAATAAATTTCTTGAATGGAAACTGATAATTGAGACAACAAGCAACACTTACATCACTGACATACATAACCACGATGATAAAATAAAATGTCAGGAAGATTCTTGTGCTGATATCTGTTGACCAGAAATTATACAAATATAAAAGAAGAGAAGTTTTGAACAACCAGACATAATGGATGCTGGCCACTTTAGCATGGCTGACATTACTGGTTCAATTAGCACAGAGCTAGCTGCAAAAGGTGTTAATTACTATGCACACACCAACAGTTTACTTATAATATACCTACTGTGCATGACAACACTTCTTCATGTATACAAATCTTGCTTTGCTCTAAATTTTAATCAGTAATTATGAGAGCTCTTGCTTTGGGGATTGTATGGGATGAAACTGATCCAGAAACCCCTAGTTGAACAAAAGAACTATACATTTCTATTATAGTTTATGTGGACTTACTCTGTGCACTTATAATAAATGACAATTGTTGACAACAGTATAAAACAGAGGAGTCCTCATTATCCAGGGTTAATCTGGACTGGAAAGATGTCACTTAAAGCAAATCCCTTCAAGCAGAAAATTTCTGCCCATAAGAAAATACTGTGTATGTGCATTTTGAAACAATATATTGAGGTCACATTAGATGAAGTGCAATGCAAGTGTCCTATAAGTGAATAGTTTGGAGCATTTAGGAACTATGCTATCACAAAACCTAACCAATTTTTGTTATTGACAAAGAGCTGATGATCTCTGCTCTAAGCCACATAAATCATATACAAAATTTTTGACATGTGGAAGCAGTGTTGTGGTCTGTTCAAAGCACTGCCACAGAGGGCTTCTTAGAATTACAAGGGAAAGCAAGCCACTCAAAGTACTTCTAACAGAAACCTGTCATCATCATAGAGAGGCTATCAATCCTTTTGTAAGCTGTACCAAATGTGATGAAATGTTTCTCAATAATAAAGCCAAAAATAAACCATCTGCATGCTGTGAGTATGTTTATCATCCTATGACATATGATGCAGTTGGCTGCATGTTCAAGGGTTAATCNTCATAGTCACCGCCGTGAAAGCCTCAAATCTTACATACGTTAATCTACATGTTCCATTCACCTGTGAATGCTTCACTGCTAATATTATTATAAGTTACACTCTTACCTATTACAGATTCATGGAATGTGAAAGCAAGCACACGAGAACCTGTGCTCCCAGCATCTATGATAACTGCATATGAATGCTTCTGTAATCCCAGTGTGAAAGCCACTTTATCCAAGGTATTTGTTGCATGCTTATATGGACTCCATGGTAGTACATCAAAGTATGAACCTAAAAACAATATTTTGATGATCATTCTATACCTAATATATAATAATACAGAACCTACAGAACTAACAACTGACAAGATAAAAATTAATGCCTTCTATAAAATTTGAGGTGATAAGTTACATATGGATATTCACTAAGACCTGCCACTGCAACCCATTCTGCCCCATTCTAATTCAGACCACACTTTCAGAATGTATTTCTTTATGTTCCTTTTCAATTTTGTTCTCTAATCTACACCTTGGACAGCCAAGAGGCCTCTTATCATGAGGTTTTCAAATTAATTTCTGTTTCTCCGTGCATGCTACATGTTACTCTCACCTTATTTTTCTTGATTGGTAATAATAACTGATGACCCTAATTACATAAATGTCTTCTTTCCTGTTACTTAATGCCTTTTAATCCCATGCATATTCAGTGTATTAACAACTAACATACTGTCATGTGATGGATTGACCATAGATGGAGTTCGGATTGGCAACGGGATTTATTCAGAACTACAGGTAACCATAGTGCTCATAATTCACACTCTGCAATTCACTATCAGACACATTTAGGTCTTCTCAGCCTACAAGTCTTCTGGTTAACGGCTTCCAACGGCAGATGTTCCCTTTCTTTTGGGTTCCCTAATTCTCCTCGTGCCTCAGCTACCAGCTTCTAAGAGCAACATCTCACAAGGACTGAACCATAGCAGACCTCTAATTCACTCACTCACTCACCCATCAACCAAATAACTCCACCCTGCTAACTAATTCCCAGGCTGGCGACCATCTCACACCAACCTCTTACTCTTCTCACTGCCGTCTCAAGACGCTAGACTCCACTGTAATGGCAGCTAGCCTCATCATACGTGAGTCATTTCATAAATAATGCACAGGTAGAAAACACTGCAGATTACATGATACAACAACAGTGAGCCTCACGTCAGTTACAGTTCAGGGCTTGAGAAAGAAGTGCGTTATTTTGTTTCATTTATAATGTACTCTGTTCTTAAATAACGTGAGTTAGAAATGGAGCCTGCACGGTTCTCGGGTATTGTGACTGTTGAAGACCAAAGGTCGTACATTAAGATCGAAACTTTACGTGGAAAAAACCTGACAGAAATCCACGGCTGAAATCACAGTCCAATGAGTGGAGAGGTCCATCTTCCCCATAACCAAAAAAATCTTGACGATCTCAATCAAAGGTCAAACAAATGATGATCTTTGCTTATGATCACCAAGGAATCATCATGACGGATAGTTCTGTGCGGGAAAAGTGTCACAGCAGTTTATTATTGTGACTTAATGCAATATCTGGGCAGAAAAATGCACAAAACCAACCTCAGTTGCTCGAGGCTGGGCCAATCATTCTCCATGACAACGCTCAACTGCAAATCAGGAATGTCGTAACAGAAAAGCTGCGCCAATACAGTTGGGAGGTGTTGCTTCATGCTCCCTACAGCCCGGACGTGAGTCCACCAGACTTCGACTTATTCCCAAAGATGAAACAACCTATGCAAGGCCACATTTTCCATCTCTGAAGAGCTTTCTGCTGCAGTACCCGAACCTTCGACAGATAAACAATGACCGAGTCCCACACGTTGGGACTCGGTAATTGAGAAGAAGGGGGACTATACTGAAGGACTGTAAAGAGGACGTAAACAAAAACTGTGTGCATTATTTCCAAAATGACCTACATATATCCTCAGCACAGACCACACAGAGAACATCCTTTCCAACACCTATTTTACTGTTGCGTGCATGTCTTTTGCAGCCTTTATCTAGCAATGGCTTTGTTTACAGAGCCTTTACATAGCAACAGCTACTGTATAGCTGATTATTTTGCAGTCACTGCCTAGCAATGGGTCTACATGTCACAATATATAATTTATAATTTTATCCAAATTACTTACTGTCTTTGTGCTAAAATAAGCACTACAAACATCACACTTTACATAGTGCTTATGAGCTCAAAATTTAATTTAACAGATCTGATCCTTTGTTGGTCAAAACTGGAAGTAGACAAGTAAGTGCTCTCAAATATATTTTTGGTTTATTGGTCTACTTTCTTCATTATTTTTGTCAACAATTGCTCTAGGGACAGCACAGGTGTTCCAATAATTCAATCAATAACAAACAGAGAGTGTGATGCTCCCTAACTTTCTAGAAAAATAGAGATTCAAATAAATTATAAATCAGAGGTAAAGAGGGAAGCAGAGAGAATGAGCAAATCAAACAAAAGAAAGAAGAAAACAAACAAGCAAGGGAATGCAATATAGAAATGAATGAATGACATGGAACAGGAATGAAGAAAGAAAGATTAAACAGCATATTTTAAATTTTATCTGGGAAAGAAAGAAAGAAATTTAAAGATGGACATACAGGGTGTTTCACGACTTTAGGGCATAACTGCAGGAGGTGATTTCCTAGGTCTTTGTGATCAAAAAAGTTCATATAAACATGTGTCCGATTTTGGATGGTTATGGAGTTATTACTGTTTTAAACTCAGAATAGAAGGTAACGATTACTGACAATAAACAGAACAAAATAATAAACCAGCATAATACATGATACATTTAAAGTATCAATGTAAAGTTAACTTCATGAAATTAACTTTAATTTGAATTTATTGGTGCTTAAAGCAGATTTTCGAAAATGTCACCACAGGCTGCCACTCGGTTGTGAACCACGCGAGTAGCACGTAGCAGCTTCTGCTGGCTGTTTCTTATGTGGTCAGTGGTGTCCAGAATGCGACCGAGCAAACAATCTCACGCTGTCACCTTCACATTGTAAACCAGTTCTTTCATCCATCCCCACACACAATAATCCAGTGGGCTTAAGCCTGGAGACCTTGCTGGCCAATGGTGGGGACCGCAACGTCTGATCCATCGCCCAGGGAAACGATAGTTCAGGAAATTTGTAACTCCACGTAAAGAATGAGGAGGAGCCCCGTCGTGTTGGAAATACATACGACTTCGTTTATCCAAAGGCACATCCTCCAAAAGTTGGGGCAATTCCTCATGTAGAAATCTGAGGTACGCCTCTCCAGTAAGATAATCTTCCAAGATGAAAGGACCTATCAGCTGATCATCCAGAACTGCACACCACACATTGACACTAAAACGTTGTTGAAAGTTGCTTTCAACAGTGGTGTGGGGATTCTCATCTCCCCACAAATGAGAATGTGTGTATTATTCACACCATCACGATTAAATTCCGCTTCGTCTGTAAACGTAATGTAACAATGCAAATGGCGACTGCCATTGAGCCACTTGCAAAAGTTCAGCCTCTCAGCAAAATCTTCAGGTCGGAGATGTTGCACACGCTGCACGTGGTATGGATACATGCCCTCTGCACGCAGTGTTTTCCACACTCTCGTGTGGGGAACACGAAGATGTCTTGCAATTCTTTGCGTACTCGTACGTGGACTGCGGTGTACCATACGAACAATGCCTTCTTCACTGACACCTTCATTAACACCACGCTCGGCCGCAATACGAACACCGGGAAGTCTACCGATATCTCGCAATGCCTGGTAAACTCCGGTAAACACACTCCGGTTCAGTATTCTACGATTCGGAAACCGTTGCTGATATTCAGCTACAGCAAGAACTGAGTTACCGTCACAAAACCCGTACACATAAATCACATCTGCATACTCCTCAAATGAAAATGTAAATGGCATCGTGAATGAACAGATGCACCGAGAACTGTTCTGAACACCAGTAGCCGCCACACTAGCCGTGGCCGGACATACTAACCACCACGCCTTAGGTACCTCTCAAGTGTCGAGATTACGAGAACTCTCTGTCTGTAGCTGGCTAAAAATAGCGACCCGCCAGATGATAGACACGGTTCACACGAGGGCGTGTATGGGAATGAAAAAACGGTCATAACTCCATAACCGTCCAAAATTGGACACATGTTTATATGAACTTTTTGATCAGAAAGACCTAGGAAATCACCTCCTGCAGTTATGCCCTAAAGTCATGAAACACCCTGTATACAAATATCCACACCTGCAGTATGGGAAACGTTTGCATATTGCAACAACAGTTAAAGATCTCTCATCATTCTGTGAAGTGCATGAAATGTTCTGAAAATGAAATCATACCATATACTGGAAACATCTATGAAGTACTTCTACTGACTCATCACTATATTTGTCATCAGTCACAAGATAATTCTTGCAATCACTCACTCACAGAACTACTTGCACACCTATTGAGGATATGGTTCCAGCATTGACTTCTGTTCTTGTTTCCACTGAGTCACTTACCTGTCACAATAGTTGAAACAACAACAAAAGCTATTAACATGCAAAAGCAGTTTTGCATCTTTATTGAATTTCTGCTATGTGATGGATTCTTTTTTGTCTTATTGGAATGGCTAGGTGGTCCATGATCTCCAGTTAGCTGAAATAAAAATATTCAAAATATAAGAATGTTTTGGCTTTGGTTTAAACAGGCCTTGTTACTATCACCAGACTGAGCCACTCTTAACACTCCGAAGGCAAGTGAACAATTACAAAGGAACTGCTTCTTGCTATTCCCATAAACTGTAATTTATTGTACAGAAAAGTACTGAAATGTCAACCTCTTGCTTCAAGGCAGGCACCACAATGCAAAGCTGTTGTCTTGACTTCATAAACTTCATGGCTCCTTGCTGCACTCTAGTGTTAAACTACTAACACAACTGCTTCATTTGAACCACTGCTCAGAAAATGTAAGTCATGGATAAAGAAATGCCTTGCCCACCAAAATCACCTGTAACATCAGACTGTCACTTCACAATCTGGGGCATGACACTTTTAGTGGCTGTTAACTTACATTGCTGCATATTTAACAGTTCTCTTTCTGTGCAAGCTGAGCTTTCTAATGATAAATTATGATTTACATGGCACAACAGTATTCTTAGGCCCATTTCAAATTAAATGCCAATGTCATCCAACTTCTCTTTTCTCAAAATGCAATCATATTCATGTGCACACATGTATGCATGCATGTGTGTGTTCATTCAGTCATTCAATCATTTTCCATATATCCATATAGGTAGGATGTGGAAATAGTCTCTTTGAACTTTGTGGTGAATCAGTGTGTGAATTGTTTCCATTACTACTGTTTTATGTGGAACAGTACTGGTAACATTTTCCACATTGCAAATTTTTTACAATACGAAAATCCTCTAACAAACAAAAAAAATTGTAATTGTGGAAATAGGCAGGGAACAATTACTCAGCATATCAGGGCATTTACATAAAGGCATTGTTAGGCAATAAAAAATTTCAATCAACAAGTGGCTGCTGATGATTGAGCTAGTAACATGAACAGCTCTGAGCTGGGTGATAACAGCTTCTCAGAAAGAGCAAAATTATTCTCTTTACCACCACATGAAGGCTTCGAGTCTATCAAATGCATACAGGAGGCTCTGTCCCTGGAGTATAATTGCTGGAGAATGAAGGTGACTACTCATTTCAAAATGTCAAGGATATGAATACATGGAGCTTTGCCTATATCCACCACTTGTATGCCTTCATGGAATGTTTATCTTTACCTCTAAGTATGTTACACTAAAACACCATAAGAGTTTTGCATGTTTCATTTCTCTCCCTTACTCATAATTTTTTGATGGTTTAATCACACTGAATACATAAAACTTAAAATAAAATATCATAAAGTGAAACCTCTTAACAAGTCACCATCATGTCAGAATTCATTAATCAGTAAATAGATAATTTAACACTGAATCTTTAGTGTTTTAGCATTTAAACACTTACAGCCATTTATAATAGCTTTGAAGAGCACTGTCTTCTGGGAAGGGATGTGGTCTGGTTGAAGTTTACTGGCACTTCAGAGGAATATACTGTCTCTAGCTTAAACATCAAAGAATAAGCTGAGCAAGGAAATTCTGCTCACTGTCTGTCTACAACCCTGAAGATGGAGGCAACATATTCCTCCGAACCACTGGTAAGCTTCTATCAGACTCTACAGCATCAAATCCCAGAGAACAGTACTCATGGCTCTAAAGACTTCAAATCTCTAAATAATGTTCTAGGATGAAATCGTTACATAAGGCAAAGAGATTAGCTGCTGTTTCTCCTAAAATAACAAATGAATTATACATATGACACATTACAAACCAAAGTAACGATGATATCACACTTAAAGTCTGTTAATTTTTGATATACAATACATAATACTAGTGCTTCAAACTGGAATAAGAATTTTACGAACTTGTTATGGTGAAGAAGAAATGAAATGAAATGTGGAATGTTCTATTGTTATATGACAGAAACATATGTAACTGATTTAAGAATAATACAGTTTATATAATATATGTTTCTATATTTTCTTCATAACATATTGCTAGAAGACCTGAGTCATGACAGTCCTTGCAGTGAATTAGTATACGGAACTGAGAGAAAGTGGAAACAAACCTTGTGTGACTATGTATTGCCCTATTTCATCACTGCTCTAAGCTGCAACCTACCACCCACAACAGTGCAAAAAAAGCAAAGAAAATCAAGAAAGTCTGGCGAAGGCCTAATCCAAGGCATACAAAAAGCATTGGGATAGTTTTTGGTACTGAGATGAGTTTCTGGTCCCCTGAAGTGGGACTCACTACAAACCACTAGCATAATTAATATACATCATGCAATAGTGTGTCTAGGACTTAATTTGGAGGTATGTTTTGAAAAATCAGTTACTGGCACTAGAAATTACATTCCCTTATGTAGATACACAAAATGGGAAGGCGAACCATAGCTCAAGCGGTTAGTCGCTGGCTTCCCACCATGGCAGCCCTGGTTCAATCCCGAGTCTGGTCAAGTGGGATTTGTGGTGGACAAAGTGGTGCTGGGGCAGGTTTTCTCCGAGTACTTCGGTTTCCCCTGCCAATCTTCATTCCACCAATTGCTCCACAATCACCCTCACCTATCATATGGGGCTGGCACAATAGGCCAGAAGTGGCCACAGTACAACGGACTTAGTCCCACCCCACTAGCAATAAAAAAATGTTGACTGTATTTAGTAAAGTTTTAGAAAAAACTATGTATCATAGATTAAATCGGCATGTACAAGTGAATAATATATTGGTGCAGGAGCAATTTGGTTTTAGGAAAGACTTATCAACTGATCATCCTGCTTTTTCACTTACCACTAGCATACTTCAAGCCTGTGTGGGATGTCGTTATATGAAGAGACAACCACTTGTTGAACTGTTCTATAATATTTATTATAGTTGCACAGTATACACAGATGAACTTGAGTATGAAGGATTGAAGAATAATAACAAAAGTGAACTCTGTAACACCTTGAACGTTGTATTGAAACGCGACTCCGAACTAGAACTGTCAACTTCCAAAGTCAAAGTCACACTGCAACTGACGATCAGTCAGTCAGTCAGTCAGTCAGTCAATCTTCTTATATAACCTAGAGACATACCTACAGAAAACATGTCCCTGTCCGTATTGTTGCAGGCTTTGGCTAGCACCGTCTGTTTACTCAGCCGTTACTAGGCAGCAAATGGTTTCTAGCTTGTGATTGGCTAGCACACGATCCACCGTGGGTGCTTCCCATAGTCACATATTGTTGTTGACCTTACATAGCAACGACTGTTTGCTTGAATGTGGGCAGTTCTCACATCTGGTATGATAAACTTCTAACTGCTGGGAATTTTGTGATCTTGCCAAGGCATTTCATTGTGTTAATCATGAGATATTGATATCCAAAGTAGAGTATTATGGTGTTCCAGATTGTAATTTAAATTAGTTTAAATCCTATCTATCAGACAGAAAACAGAGAGTGCATCTCACAATTGACGATCATGAGTATTTCTCCAAATGGAAAAGAGTTAAGCAAGGAGTTCCTCAGGGATCGGTCTCAGGACCCCTTCTGTTTATTATTTATATTAACGACTTGCCATTGTGCATCAATAAATTTGCCAATGTTTTTCTCTTTTCAGATGACACTGGTATTTTGGTCACTGTAAAAATTATTGTGCACTTAAGCACAAAGTTGCAGATACCTTGTTTCTAATTGTAAATTGGTTTATAGCAAACAAGTTGGTCTTAAATATTAACAAAATTAATATTATCAATTTTGCTCCTAAATGATATGCCAACGCTCTGCTGGCAGTATCCTTCGGAAACATGGTAATGAATGAAGTCCCTGTAATAAAATTTTTGGGTATACAAACTGATAATAAATTGAATTGGAAGAGTCATGTGGAATACATCCTTCCTAAACTCAAGTTCTGCTATTTCTGTAATTAGGAGTTTATCTTATTTTATGAATTTAAAAACCCTGCAAATTGTGTATTTTTCTTACTTTCATTCTATCATTAAGTATGGAATAGTCCTCTGGGACAATTTGACTATTTTTGTAGAATTTTTAAATTACAAAAGAAAACATCCCACATTATCACGCATTTTCTGCAACGCACACTCTTCACATCACTTTTCACCATCACGCGCGCTAACCAATCAAATTGCTCCAAACGTTCGCATTTATACTGCGCTCGCTGCTAGCCCCGCATCTACATCATCACGCGCGCTAGCCAATCAGTGCCCTGCAAATTCTTCCTCCTCAATTTCAAGTTTCGCTCCGCCCACCGAGCAGTGTATAAAAAGGAGCAGCCGCAAACCAGCAGCATCAGTCTGACTTCAGTCTACAATCAAGCCACACTCAAGCAACATCATCCAGCAGGCTTCGTCGCCAGCGCTCGGTCTTCAGAGGCATAGGCAGCAACCTCCAGCAACGGCCACGCTGTGGCCAGTCAAATCACCTCAACTAACCTCTCTCCCTACAAGAGCGTGCCGCGCTACCTCACCGGTCAAGCATCTCAGCAACCACGGTCCTTTTCAGGACCAACAAACTGTTCCGAAGAAGTGGGTTGTCATTGAAGTAACGACAAGAGACAGACACAGAAAACCCCACAAAGGATTATATTGGAAGTGGGACCCAGAGACTCGGGTAGAAGTCTTTTTTAGAAATTAGATATTTTACCACTGTCATGTGAATATATTTTTTTCTTTGTTGTTGTTTGTGATAATCAAAATAATTTCTGTTCAGCTTCAGAGGATAATGGCCTGAACACTAAAAGCAAAAATCAAATTTATATTCCAACTTCAAATCTTTCTGTTTTCCAGAAGGGCACTATGTTTACTGGTATTAGGTTATTTAATAGGTTGCCAAAGACCATTCAAAGTCTTAGAAAGGGCAGAATCAGTTTTAAAAATAATTTATTTTCATATCTCATGAATAATTCATTTTATACAGTTGATGAATTTCTTAGGCATACAGTAAATAATTAGTTACAGTGTTGTTTAGCTCTGTATTGTCTTTCTGCTTTGTTTGTTTGTGTTCTGCTTGTGACTAGTTTCATGTCTGTTGTATTTTGGACTTGTGAAATGTGAAATGTGAAATATATGTATGTATGTATCAGCTATCCACCATGACACCCCATCTGTACTCTCCTATTTAAACCCAAAGCCTTTGCAGCACATAACAAAATATGTTAATATAATTTATGGCAACTGTTACTGTTAAATTCAGTCAACAAAATGAAAACTTTAGAAGCTGAAAACATTAGGATACAACACCATAAACATTTTCATGCAGTTGAATAATGGGCTTTCTCAGACTCCAGTTAAACTCCTGCTCAGTAAATTGTAGATGTGTGGCAGACACTGGGGCAGATTTTCTGTAATTACTCATCTTCTCCTCCTATTCATTCTTATCTAGGAATCACCTGCTACTAATGGTACCCTTGATACTAAATAACATTACTAAGTGATAGATTGTTATTAAATAATGAATTAAAAGAAGAGACCTTATGTTGTGGATATATGTGCAGAAAATCTTGGATTCTGAAGAGCCTGAATTAAATCCACATTTTTCCTTTTTATCCAAAATCTCCAACAGAAGTGAAACATTCTGAAATAAGGAATATGGTAGTAGAATCTACCTCATAGGTGTACTCCCATCAGAAATGGACCAAACACCATACTGGTCATGCTTAGGACCCTTCAAGTAATTAACTGCCATTATAGCATAAGCTAAGTAAGATAAAGCATCATCTGCTGTACAAATCCTGGAGAGATAGAGGGTGGCTGAAGGTTGACCTGGACTAAAAAAAAAACTATATCTGCCATAATCATCACACATTCCTTGTCAAGAAATTCTTCCTTTATGCTAACACAGTTTATCCACTGTCCTGGCAAGCTACTGATGCCAGCAGCATAAAAGGTTTTATCCTGACTGCATAACCAGTTCAGAACACTGCATTTTGTGTTCATCACTCCAAACAAATGAAAATCATTAGGCAGCGAAGTCAGGGCTGTAAGGAAGGTAGTTCTCTCCTTTCAAATTTCTTGATGCAGATCGTTGCGTACTGTGCATTAATTGTTACATCATGTGGAAGAAATAAACATGGGTGATTCATTCTGAATTCCAAATTACACTTGGCATGAACTTGCTAGTTGAGAGCTGTGTTTAACTTCTTTACAGGCTTCAGGAAACTTACTGTACCAATCACATACACCTGAAAGTGACAGGGTCCCTTCCTATACTGTGCATCTAACCTATAAAGAATTTCTGCTGATTTCACTTTCTCATTCACTAGGAATTTGATAATATAGTGCTGTTCTACACTAGGAGTGACAAGGTCTGATGTCATCTTGTATTAGGCAAATGAACAGAACCTGGGCACATGTCCACCTGCCAGACAGTGTGTGCAGTTTTGCCACCAACTGTCCATGAAGTTTTTATCTTCCCAGTGCCCACAATTTCAGAAAATAAAAGTTCTGTCAACCTTCAACCAGCTACATATATACTGTATATGTTACAACCTAAACATCAATGTATTCTGTACATACAGGGCAATGTACAGAAATATGTATATTGTATAGGTGACAAGGACTAGGATATGTGACAATGGACAGATCCATCCTAAGAGATGATGATGACTGTAAAGGATTTGAGACTATAAAAGGAGATTGGCCTGCCGACTATGAGCTGTAAAATGCTTTGCACCTGGTATCATTCAGACTTAACCATGCAGGCATCTACCAGGAAAGTGAAGCAGACTATCTGCAAGTGTTTGCCATAATACAGCAAACTGAATGCATCAGCCTATTCTTGGTTTTAAAACGTATAAAATACTTACGATATGCATAAAACTGTTGTCAAGAAATAAGGAAATATTTTCAAATATCCAATATAAGTTCGCTTCAAGATGACACTATTTTGACACATCCAACAATTACAAAACGTGAGGTTATGTTGCCTAATATTGTGATACATTAATCAATTAAAATGGTCATCTTAGGAGCACTGGTTGCACCTTGCCCGTAACAAAAATTGCTCTCACTATCCTTAAACCATCTCTTTCCTGCCTGAATTGTCTTTGTCGGGCTCTTTTATCTACCAGTACACGCGGAGTTTGCCATGAAAAGGTACAAAAAAAAAAAGCTAAGCATGTATAAATTAGAAAATAACATTGGATTTCAGAACTCACTGGATTGTAAATCATTAATATAAATATTAGGTGTAAAAATTTCAAACGCTCTGTATGGTGCACCTTTCATTTGCAAGTATAACGTCGAATCACCTTCTTAGCCATCAACGCACCCGAATGCACCCTACCGGCTACTACTTCACATTCGTAGTAGTAGTGTGTCAGAACTGAATTCCAAATTGGGGCAAAGTATTATGTAGTAATGTTGTTTTACCTTTCTTTGTCGAACAGAAGCCATGATTTGCTTGATTCAGTCGCCAGGCTGCTTCAGTTTCCTTTAAAGACTGAGTTTCTGGAAACGGGCACTACCATCAGTACCTTCCACAGTCCAGAAATGCAAATCATTCTCATGTTCAATTACGTCAACGACCTTGAAGTTTCATTTGTGAAAATTGACAGTAACGTATAACATGACTTCACAAGGCATGACATGTAACGGCAAGATAATGTGAATAGGGCAAATACGAAGTGAACATTGATAAAATTACAAGCAGATAAGGCCTAATCGTTGCACTCTCTTTCAGCGCTTTGAGCCACCGTTCGTTCAAACGTCACGTACATACCACGGATTATGTAAGAGCATGATCACATCATGCGATAGCGAAAAGGAAGTTGTGGAAATGGGATAGAGGGAGTAAACACTGCTTTGCCGTGTGTTTGGATAGCAAATGATTGCTTTTGACTCTTACTTATTGCATAATTGTGACGCGTGTATAGTAAAAAATAATTTACTGAATATTGTTGTTGACTTGCTAGCGCCGAATTTATTCTTAGCCAGAGAGTAGCCATTCTTACATTTTCGTATCCGTTCTTGCTTCCTGCAATGACATGCTCGAGGACCTTAAATGGGCCACGGCCTTGTCCTTCACCATCACTCCCTGTTAATTATGCTGTGTATAACCAATGCAGTTAAATAAACAGGGTACAGATTGCCTTAGAAATCTAACAAATATGTGAGAATAGCAAATAATTATATTCATGAAGAAACGAAGAGCGGATTAAATATTGAACGTATGATGCCCTACGAGGCTGTCATAGCTTAGGTGGTTCAGTACTTGCTCCTCAATGCAGAAGGCTGGGTTCAATTTCTGTGTGAACAGAGTGAGCCAGGTACTTTTCCAAGCATTTTAGTTTTCCTCTGCCGATTATGATTCTACCAAGACCACCACTTCGCAGGCCATCTACAGCATTTCAATCCCTTGCATGTGAAATATTACAAAAATACCCATGAAGCACATGTCAAGTGTATGTTGAGTTACAAACCTGATATGAAAGTAATGCACCCAAAACAATACAAAAATTACGTTATTTGTAAGCTAGTATTGGTTTTGCTATTTTGTGGTCTGTCTGAAACATCTTTTAGGGTATGTCATGCCTTGAGTACATAACCTTACCTAAGCAAAGTCCTTAGGCAGCGCCAAAGCTCAAGCAGTTAGTCTCTGGCTTCCCATCGCGGCGGCCCGGGTTCGATCCCGGGTCTGGTCAAGTGGGATTTATGGTGGACAAAGTGGCGCTGGGGCAGGTTTTCTCCAAGTACTTCGGTTTCCCCTGCCAATCTTCATTCCACCAATTACTCCACAATCACCCTCACCTATCATCTGGGGCTGGTACAATAGGCCAGAAGTGGCCGCAGTACAAGGGGCTTAGTCCCACCCCACTAGCAATAAAAAAATAAGCAAAGTCCTTTATATTCATTAGGATCTCTGGTATGGCAAATCTGGTCCCTACATTTTGAAAACAGAATCTTATCACTTCCTAATAACAATGTAATGATCTACATCACTAATCTGATCATGACATACCCTCAAAAATACAGATATGTTCTTATCTTTGTTGACCAGTTCAGAACTCCACACTTCAGGGCAACCAGTGCACTGCCAGCTGTAAGGCACATAGAAAGTTTGCCGGTGAATCAGTATGCCCGATGGCTGATAATGTTTGGAATTAAGGGAAGTTATTAACCTTGCAGTGCTATTCATGTGTGGGAATTTGTTTATGAATTGTCAGCAGTGGACAGCAATTATCAGCTCCGTTAGCCATTTGTTCTTAGTTACAATTAGTGAGTGGTGTGTTTCATTATGATGCAGTATGCTTTAGAGCCACATGTATTTCTGCATGACACCTATGTGAAATTAGGATATGCTAGAAAGTGTTAGCAAAAATTTTGACACAAATTTCCCAGCAGACACACAATTCACAATTTGGTAAATAAACTTAGATCAGTGGCACTCTTACTCTTTAGGTGAGTATTATGAATGGAAAACAAGGGATGATTGTGCTAATTACAGATAAATAAAACTACACTAGTCATTTTTAAACTTTTATTGTAAGATGCCCATAACTCTTTGGATATGATTTTGCTCAGTTATTGACAATGTTGATATGTATTTTGTTATGATAATGAGTTGCAGTGCGAATGTTATATGCATGCTGTGTTTAGTTATAGCATTGTATCAACAGTTATTGCAACAATGGTTGTGGATGTTGTAATATCTTAATGACGTCCTCTGGATCAATTTTATTGTAACTAGGGTTTTGACGTGTTCTATATCTGGTGGCACCATCGCCAAATGTAGATCTGATGAACAAAATAAATTGAATTGAATTGAAAAAAATAGAAAAGAAACAAAAACTGAAGCACCAAGTGCTTACTGTGGAAAGGGTAGATGATACAGGAGTTGACTTTAACATACACCTAGAAAATCACTGAAACATCTAGCTCAAGAGACTGGAGTAAACGTCTAGTGCAAGAAGAGCAACACAATGGCTGAAGCTTAGACGCTAGAAAACTAACAGTAATCCATGCCTTGCAGCTGCATGATCCAACTAGCAGGGTTCATTTTTCCAGTTGGTTTCTACGGTCTATTGTTGCAGGTGAGACCAATCTGCAATTGACATTATTTTCTGATGAAGTGTGGTTTCACTTGCAAGGATACATAAATATGAAAAATAATTGCTACTGGAGTTCAGAGAATGCACATCTAACCTAGGAAGTCCTGTTCCATCCAGTGAAACTTGTTGGACCTGTGATTTTTAATGAAACAATCATGAAAGATATGTATAGGTCATTCTTGGGCAGTTCTTTCCAGAGTTAACAGAAGAAGAAAGACTCTATGGCTGGTTTCAGCAAGACTCAGCTACTGCCCACAGCGCACTGCACTGCAGGCTTTGTCCAATGTCTTGAGGGGTAGATTATCAGCACTGGTATTTGGCCAGCATGTTCACCTGATCTTAATCCTTGTCATGTTTTTTTCTGGGGTTGTTTGGAGGACAAAATTGACAACAGTTATCCCCAAATGGAAGAGCTAAAAGAAAATATCCATAATTGCTAATTGCAAATATTCCTGAAGAAGAGCTTTGAAGGGTAAATCAGAAATAATAAAGAACAAGAACCTCTTCTGCTGGTGCAAGGAATGTCTACATGTAGAGGGACAGCATTTTCAACACCTCTGGTGATCTTTGATTTGTTAACTACTCAAGTCTGAACATTATTAGCCAACAGACATATTGATTCATCAGCAAAATTCATATACACCTTGCAGCCAGTGGTAACACCAGTCAACAAAGGTAAGAACTTCGCTGTGTGTTAGAAACAGTATATATTTACAATTGTAAGCACTGCCATTTATGGAATCTCTGCATAATCTGTACTTTTCTTGCCAGGAGAGATTATAATCTTTGGAATTTCTTTGTGTAACATGCTGCAGAGAACATACTGATTTCCCTAAATATTGGGCTCTTGGTGCCTGATAACTTCCACGTTACTGCTTTTCATAACATTTTACTGCAACGAATTAATTTCCTGAGTTGCTGCCTGCCACATGCTGGTTTCTTACTTGGCTTATTCTTTGATGATGAACACAAAGTGTTCTTCCAAGACACTACTTAACTTTCACCAGACTACACAACATTATATCCCAGAAGCAAGAACTCGTAGCCACCAATGTAAGAACCTGAAATTCAACGCAGTAGAAATACAGCAATACCTCGCATAGTCCGGGGAATCGGTTCCGCCAATATCCTGGACTGTTTGAAACCGGACTAATCAAGGAACTAAATACATACAAAAAATGATAATTAGTTCCAAAACAAATTCTCCGTTTTTCAATAAAACGTGATTGATAAATTCAAATGTCTTTATTAGAAATAATTAAAAAAAAATCATGTTTTTTGCAATTCATTTTTTATTCTCTAAAAATTGCAATATTGATGTCTCCAGATTTTTCTTCTCTGGCTACATTCAATATTGGAATCAACTTCCATAATATGCTCTGACAAGGTTTCAACCATTTCAAAATTTTTGATAGTTGTTCAGCTACAACCGCTTTATTAATCATCACAACACAACAAGGATCAAGGTCAATGCCCAGCTACAGCTCTGCTACATGTTACGGCTATCAATAGCTATCATCAGGCAAATACATGGTTAAACATGTATGCTCCACTGAACTGCAGTACTATTAAACTGGATACAATACTATTAATCATATAAAACACTTGACATAAAAAATACAAATAATCAGATTATATAAAACAGAAGTTATACTGTAAAACAAGAATAAAATTTTAATTGATGTTTTATAACATTGAATCAGTCGTCGGTTTGTAATTTTGTACGTTCCCATGGACAAACTGGAATATTCTATATTTTTTCTTTTCGTATATAAGAGCTACACCAGCAGTAGCATAGCTACTGGCAGGGCCTCCCTTGCTGGACAGGTCAAAGGGTAGGCATCAGATGAAGAGAGACCAAAAACCAAAAACTGATGCCGGAAGCAGCGACTTGAAGCACAGAGCAAATGATGCTCAAAATGGTTCAAGTTCGTATAGCAACAGGCGTGAACAGAGTGGTTTGAATGGCTGTTGTACTGCGATGTGGAAAGCAAATGGAAAAACTGCCACATTATCACTTTTCCTGGATAGTCTCTTTCCAAAAACAGACACACCATGTGTGCGAACCAGAAGACGGGGAACAAGACGTAAGAAGATGCTGGATGACTTTGGGGACAAAAGAGGATATTTTTATTTGAAGGAGAAAGCTCTGGATCGCATTAACTGGAGGAACTGTTTTGGAAGAGACTGTGGACCTGTTGTCTGACAGATTACTGATGAATGAATGAGATTGTATAGGAGGCTCGTGATGTAGATGTTAATATGGTTTAGTCGGTGCCCCATCTTACAAAGTATTGTTCGTACTGTAGGGAATGTAAACAACAACATGTAGCAGAGTTGTAGCTGGGCATTGACCTTGATACTTGTTGTGTTGTGACGGTTAATAAAGAGGTTGTATATTGTAACACAACAGGATGCATGAAATGAAAGTTGTTCAGCTGTTAATTCTTGTGCAGGCACTTCAACACAGTCGTTGTTGTCTAAGTTGTCCTTCCATTCTTCATCTATGATAATAAGTGTGTCATTATCTAGTTCATCAGTGTTTGATTTGATGCACTCGATTACGTTGACAGAATCTAACTCATTGAAACCAAGTTGCTGTCCAATTTCCACTATTTATTAGTGACTTCAGAAAAATGAGTTTCAAAACCAATGAAATCATTTACGCAATGTGGTATGATATGTTTCCATTCTGCCTTCATATTAATTGCCGTTAATTCATGCCATGTTTCGCCTATATTTTCGATAACATTTCTGATGTTGTAGCTCTTCCAAAATTCTGTTAAAGTAGCGCTCTCCCCACCTCCAGCGATAGCTGTTAGAGCTCAAGAATGAACAACCCAAGCATAGGTACATACATACACAACGGGGAACCCCAGAAAAAATTGAAATGTGTATCATATCACATAACTTTAAAACCACATAAAAATAAATCGCACAAAGAGACTTGACTGTATAAAGAAAAAAAAACGATCATTTATGTATTAAAAATAATTTTGTGTACTAATTTTTTAGAATTTATTTTTATTTTGCTCAATTAAAATTTAGTCTGTTTTGAAATTTTCAAACCGGACTATGGTGAATCCGGATTGATCGAAGCCGGACTATGCAAGATGTTGCTGTATGTTTTGATTTTTACAATTTTCTCATCCTACACACCTACACTGAAAGCACTCAAATCCTCTGAAGTATGAGGGACACAGCAGTCCCTATGTTAGTGCTATATTATTAATCTCCTCTTACCCCTGATTTTCAGTCCACCAAACTCCAACCCTCAAAAAAAAAAAAATGTCTTACATATTTTTATATACAAATTAGCATACAGGAGATATGAACTCTCTCAAATTTGTGGGTCATATTCATACTGAATATGAAATTCAAAACATTCTAACCATAAAAAGCGTATTATCTAAAACATTAACTCAAAATCTTGTACTTCTTCAGTTCTCTTATATCTTGAAAGCAGTTTAAAATTCAAACAGTGACACACCAAAGCAACAGTATAATAATCTGTGGAATATATAATTTTATATATTTACAAAAATAACATGAAATTCTAGGGAAAGAAGAATATGATCTTTTAGCATTTTCAGTGTAAATTGGAATGTTCATGCAAGTGGGATTAGAATTTCACCTCCACAAATATGTTTTGATCTCTACTGAAAGATGGGAGAAAAATTATCATCAGAGTCAGGTAAAACTTAAGTTCTCTTCAGGCACACCTTTGGGCAAGACCACAAAGGAGAAACATTTGTTGCTCAATATGTGGTTATGAAAAATAAAGTTGTAACTCTATTAATATTATATTGTAAAACTGATTTCTAAAACACAATTGCAAATTTTAATAAATGCATAAAAATGACCTTTGAACATTTCCTCTTAAAACTATGCCAAAAAATCATATCTGCAAAATGACAACAGACAGTCACAATTTTGGTTTCTAATATCAACCTCTTTCTTATGTAACAAATTTATAAATCACAATATAAATGATTTTATGTGGCAGAAAATGTGAACATTAAAGTCAGATATCTAGATTTGAACATTCCACTGTGAAACTTCAAAATAATTAATAACAGCAGATTTGGCTAAATCACTTCCTGTTTGACACCTGGAAAATTGACATTGCCCATATAAACACTTTACATTTCGTGCTACTTCCCAAATATACTCTACAGTATGTAAAAAATGAAAGAAAATATACAATGAAATTAAAATTATGACATATACCATGATATAAAACATATGACTTCATACATTTACAGTTTTACATTTGATTTTTAGAATTCTCTTATCCTACAAACCACTCTGGAAACACCTTAAGCCCTCTGAACTGTGAAAGGCACAGCAGTTATTATATTACTTATCTGCTTTCACCCCTGATTTTAACTCAACCCAGCCCCTCTCCAGCTAAAGAAAAAAAACTGTGAAAACTGTTTGGACTGTGTTCCCATATCAGATGTTGTAGAATTGCTAACTGAGCTACAGCCTCATACTTAATATACAAAACATACTACAAGAACAATTGATCATAGCCATAATTAGAACTGAACTCTCTGGATCAATGCTGAATTTAATCCTCCAATTTGTCTGTAAATCAAGAAAAAATGGTTAGGACTCCATACTAAATACTTAACAAGCAGTAGGAACTAAAAGTAAAATATAACACCACCAATTAGGGCATTAACATGCTTTCTTTATACCAAATGAATGTAACTAACTCACAATGGGGAAGACAAAAACATCAGTCTGTGTGTTTTGTGTCAAAAACTAATTCATGGATTTCATTAGAAGTTTCTGTTGGATAGGTGATGGGTGACAGCTAAGCAACTATTACCTTCTCATAAATAAACCTGGAATTGGTTAATTTCTGATAACACATATTATTTATGAAACATACTTGCCTAAGTTGTGTGATTTATTACATGCTCCTTAAGCAATAATTAATGTGAAGATGACTGGGAAGAATGTGGAAGGAAGCAGTCATACCTTTTATAGGCTGTACATTGTGCTATTGTAATGCTATGTGTGTGCAGTCTAACTGGCCAAGCCTCACATTTTTAAACATTCATGCTGCAACTGCCGATTTCAGTCTAGCCACCAATGATATAGAACCAGGGTGATTTAAAATTCCTTTTTCCTGGGAAATAAAGGATGACATGACCCCCACTGGGTGTCAAGGATGTGGCTAATCTAGAGGTTAAAGTGGGTAATGTAGATACAGTAATATAGAAAATTTAAGTCAAGCTAACAAACTTGTAACACAAATATTTGTTAAACAAACCTGATGTTAACAAACAAGTCAGTCTCACTCCTGTCATAAACAGAAAACCTCTGCAAAATCACATAATAACAGAACAAAGGGGAGTAACCAGAAAGAAATATGGGCCTAGTGAATCATGATGCTGGGACCAGAGAAAGCATTGCATAAACACAAAAGCCAGGGAAATTTCATGGCACTCAAGGGAGGGCAACTGGAAAAGATCATGTATTCACTAATATAACTTATTTAAAGATAACAGTCAAAAATATCCAGAATTATCAAGACACTGTAAACTCATTTAAAAATTTCGTTTTAGATGTGGCTAATATCATAAAAGAGGGGATAAACAAGGATATGGCAATAGACAAGAGACCTACGGATTATTTATATACTTCCTTTTGGCAACCCTTTCAAAAAATGCTATTAAAAGAAACAAATCTAATGAAATAGAAGAAATAATAAGGTTAATGAAACCTAAATTAGCTCATGGATATGATGGAATTACAGCCAAGTTTATAGAAGCAAGTGCCCCATTTTTATCAACATTAGCATATATATGCAACAAATCTCTGTCTACATGAACATTTCCTTCTTGTCTAAAATACTCAGAAATAACACCCGTATATAAAAGAGGAGATAAAACTGACATATCAGACTATAGGCCGATATCTTTACTTCCAACTTTTTCAAAAATACTTGAAAAAGTTATATATAAATGGCTTCTTTCTCACTTAAATTAATACAATATATTAGTAAAGTAACAATTTGGTTTTGGGGAAAATCTCTTGACAACATTAGCTACTTATAATTTATTAGACAATATTTATGTGGCCTTAAATAACAAATGCATAGTGAGCGGAATCTTTTGTGACCTGAAGAAGGCTTTCGACTGCGTAAGTCATGACGTATTGCTATCAAAAATGGACTTTTATGGAATTACAGGAATTGCACAAAAACTTACTTAAGAGGAAGATATCAGGGAGTAATTTTATATAACAATGGAAATAAGTGCTGTTCCGAATGGAAAGAAATACAATATGGTGTGCCTCAGGACTCTGTATTGGGTCCAGTACTATTTTTATTATACAGTAACAACTTGCCAGAATTTATATGTGACCTATCTAAACCCATCTTGTTTGCGGATGCCAGTAGCATTATTGTATCAGACAAGGATCCTACAAACTTCAAAATCAAAATAAATAATATGATATAACTAATGAATGGTTCTCAACAGATCAGTTAACAGTAAATTATGAAAGAACCTGTTTCTTACATTTTCAAGTAAAACATATCAAAATTCTGGATATTCAGGTCAGTTATCTAAACAACCAAATTTTAAGCAATTCTAATGTATCGTTTTTGGGACTAAAAGTAGATAATTTCTTAACATGGAAAGATCATATAGATACATTAGTTGTTAAGTTAAACAGAGCTTGTTTTTCAATCCGTTCAGTCAAAGTTAAACAGATCTTGTTTTTCAATCCAATCAGTCAAATCCATATTATCATTGGAGGCATTAAAATAGTATATTATTTGTATGTGCATTCATATTAAATTATGGGATAATATTCTGGGGCAAATTACTCATACAGCATAAGAATATTCAGGATACAAAAAAGGATAATCGGAATTATAACAAAATCAGCAAAGAGAGCCTCATGTCATAGTTTATTCAGAGAATTGGGTATCCTCCCCTTACAAGCACAGTATATTTTATCAATCTCTATGTTTATCATAACAAATAGGGAATTATTTAAATTTAACTCCCATTTACATAAATTTAATATCAGTTCTATTTATGATCAGTACTACCCCCAAACTACTTAACACTGTTCCAAAAAGGAATATGTTATATGGGAGTAAAGATCTTCAACCATCTGCCAACTAAAATTATGCCTATTTTTTAACGACACAAAGAGTTTTAAATGTAAGTTGATAATATTCTTATTACAGAATTTATTTTATACCATTGAGGAATTTTTTAATTGAAACATGACTAGAAATATGATTAAAATAGTAAGGTTTTGTCATTAAGCCATGTATTATGATGATAAGAGTGATATATATATATATAGTATTATATGTGGCCTATTGTACAGCAGATGTATGTGCATGTTTTATATTTTGTACATAAATGATTTTTATTGTGAAATGGATGTACAGTCAGATTTGCATTGTATGATCAATTATTTTATTATAGTGTTACCTTGCATAGTGAGTGATGCATTATATGTGACCTATCATAGATGCATATGTATGTTTTATACTTTGTGGTATCCAGTAGGATTTATATTGTATGATTAAATATCTTATTATTAATTTATCTAGTATAAACAAAGATAGATTCCTAATCTATGTACATAGATCCTTGGAAGACACATTAAATATGAATATGAATATTGGCTGAATGAGACTGATTAAATGAAGAAATAAGCAAAAAATTCAAAATAACAAAATAATAATGTGAATCCATTAATAATAAGAATACTGTATTAATAATATTGATAATTTCTGCAAATAAGGGAAAGGGACCAAAATCACAAACTTGGAAATTTCCTCTCCCCAGATGACAATCATGAGAGGCCAGGTAAAGGAAGGGGTGCAAGATAGGTTAGGAAAAGAAGGGGGAACAGCAGAAAGAAAGGGATAGGTACAGTGTAACAATGCAACGTTACAAAGGTATAATCCCAACGCTTGCCTGTAGGGACTGAGAAAAACCACAAACAATCCTTGGCACAATAGCCAGCCTCTGGAATGCGAACTGAACTTGGGCACTCCTTAATATGAAGCCACAGTACTGCCAATCATTCAGTTATGACAGTAGACTAAGTACATTAGTGTCCATTTACATAATTTGGCTCATTATACTATATTTTGAAATGTGTACACCAAAACAGTATGCAGCTAGAACTGCTGTCCTAGGTCCTACCTTTCTTCTCCTTTATCTGTTTCTGCAGTTCAGTGATCTGAACTTTGGCCTGCATGAGCTCTGCCTCCTTCCTTTGAAGCTCATGTTGTGTTCTGAACAAAGTCTCGTTGCTAAATAGAGCACAAACAGACTGGGCCTCCAGTTCTTCCTTCACTTTTTTACACTCTTTTCTGTATATGGCATGAAAATTAAATTTATGGGAGAAAAAATTAAAACCAATACTTTACAAAAAGCTAGTTTTCAACTGAATGCACCAAACTTCATACCTTCATGTCAATCTATTCAGCTACATAAATACAATGAAACCTCCATTTATGGTTTTCTTTTGTGAGCAGAGGATGTGAACACTAAACTGAGGAAGATCTTAAATGGAGGTAATTTAATTCTGAGATTATTAACTTTGGACCATGATAATTGAACATTAAAGGTGTAAAAACCTTAAAGTGAGGAAAATTAACTGGAGGTTCCTCTGTGTATCATACTGCCATCTATCGAAATGCTGCACATTTGATTTCTGAGGCTTTGAAAGGCAAAATATGTGGACTCAATTTATTATTCTAACAATGTAACAGGGTTAGAATTGTCCCTTGTATTACTGTATTTTTTATTCAATATATGTTCTACAGGAATGAGACAAAGATTGAATTTCACATAAATCCTTGCAGTTTACATAAAGAAAACCCTTATGAGAATTCCTTATGTTACTGTTATTCACAGATATGTAACATTTAGAGGGGCAGCAATCAAAATTAATTATCATATTACTTCAAATATAAGATGCACATTTTTTCCCTTTGAAAAATTGAGGCGTATCTTAAATTCAAGGAAGTATTCACCAGTTTGCAAACTGTCCACAGGGTGGCCTGGAAAGAACCTACTGTAAACANCACACAAAAACCTAAAAAACAACATCCAACACCCCCCCCCCCCCCCCCCCCCCCAACCTTTAACTGTGAGTCAACCCACAACTTTCAGTTCAGTCATTGCCTGACATTCTTATTATTCAGCTGTGCTCAGTTTTCTATCATTTTTTACCCATGGAGAAGCGTTTTACATATGATGTCATATTCAAAAGAAAAGTTATTCTGTGGCCTGAAAAGATAGGTATTCATGCAACTGGTAGAAAGTATACAGAAGGTGAGGCATGTGTATGTCACTGGCAAAGTATAAAAACAAAACTGTTTTCATGTCTGACAAATACATGTAGGAAGTCTTTTTCTGGACCAAGGAAAAGGAGAAATCCTTAGATTGATGACTCTGTTTTAGAGTATTTCACAGATTTATGAAATAAAGAATTACCTATAACTAGGGAAGCCATAATGTCAAAAACAAAAGAATTAGATAGAAACAGTAATATACCTTTCAAGGCTACTCATGGATGGTGTGAAAAGTTTATGGGGAGAGAAAGTTTATTGTTATAATGAAGGAAGAAAATTAGTCAAAAACTTCCTTTGGAATTTTAAACTAAACTGACTGAATTTCTGTGTTTTGTTATTGTACAACACCAAAGGAATAAGTATTTTTAAAAACCATTCAGGCACCTTGTCTATAAATACTACGATGCTTGGCTGAATAAAGACAATCATATGTTGACGCTTAGTGACAAAATAAAAAGAGCAACAGGGTCAGTAATAGTGGAGTGGATATCAAAAGCTTAGAAAGAAATGCCAGTGAATATTATTCCAAAATCGTTTTTGAAGTGCTGTTTGTCTAATGTGGAAGATGGCATAAAGGATGACATTCTTTGGGATGACAATGAACAAAGTGGCTAGGGTGCATCATCTTCAGAAAAAGAAAGTGCAACTGAAGGATCAATGGACTTTCTTATTAGATAAAAAAAGATAGAAATGAATGTGCATGTAATGAAAATTTTAAATTTCCATTACATTCTGCTGTATATTCCATTACATTTCACTTTAAATGTGTTCTAAATATTTTATTATTTTAATTGATGTGTTCTAAATAAATTCATACCTTTCTGATTTTTTCTAAAACCCTCATTTAAAAATTCAATGCATCTTGAATTTGAGGGCATCTTATATTTGAAGTAATATGGTATATGTAAACAAAACCAAGCAACAACATTAACCACCATACTAATTGCTGTGTACAATTTCAGATTACATGTCCGTAAATAACATTTATTAGTATCCTCACTACTGATGTTTGGGATTAACATTTGAAGTCTTATCAATATTACATTTCAGAGGTATGTGTTGCTCTCAAGATCTAAATGATGAGACAGTACCTCATTTCTCTTAAATTTTGTGCAAAAATCATATCAGTCTATACCCCTGAAATTTCTATTCTATGATGCAGGACATTCGAGCACAAAGTTAAATGGCTTACACACTGTCATAATACCAAACCATTATAAATATCTATTTATGACTGCATTCATAATATTTATAACATATATATTATAAAATAATCTTTGAATTTGTGGAACAGAAATCTGTATTGCACTTTGTACCATTCAGATTTCCTGTTGTAATTTCAACAATTGAAATAAACCAGAAATTTTCCAGCTCACAGATCAAGAAAGCATATTCAGCCTTGAGGAACTTAGTCTTCCGGAATATAATGCATTGTACAAAGGTTATTTGGAAAGTAAAGATACAAAGTCCAGAAAATATTTATAAAGTTTTTTTTATTCACTTGTAGCACTTTTATAACACACCTTTATTTACTTTTCAACATAGTCACCATGGATTGCAATGCACTTAGTGAGCCTGGGAACGAGTTTTTTAATCTAGTGTCGTAGAGATCTCCCACTTACTCTGTGAGCTATGTCATCACTGCATCCTGAACCTCATCATCATCCAAATAAGTCTTTCTAGCCAGACTATCCTTCAATTTAGAAAACAAGTGGTAGTTGCTTGGTGCAAGGTCAGCGCTATGTGATGGATGGGCCAGTACTTCACACTTGAAGGACTGCAACAACTCCTGTGTGGCGCGAGCAGTGTGTGTTGTTGGTGAGTGTGCTTATGTGAGAAATGAAGAAGTGTTAATTAGAGTCAGTGAGCAGAGGAATATCCTACACGAAATAAGAAAACGGAAGGCTAATTGGATTGGTCATATCTTACGCGGTAACTGCCTTCTTAAAGAAGTTATTGAAGGAAAGATAGAGGGGCAGATAGAAGTGACCAGAAGACGTAAGAAGATGCTGGATGACCTTGAGGACAGAAGAGGATATTTTCATTTGAAGGAGAAAGCTCTAGATCACATCAAGTGGAGGAACTGTTTTGGAAGAGACTGTGGACCTGTCATCTTGACAGATTACAGATGCATGAATGAATGGTGAGTGTGTAGCATCACTGCACTGATTGTCGCTTATTCTCAGGTGTGTGATTAGATACCCAAGTTTCATCTCCATCACAATACAGTCCAGAAAGTCGTCACCTTGATCCTCGTAACACACAAGGAATGCCTGCACCACAGCCACTCGGTTCTTCTTGTGATTGTCAACATTTTCGGCACCCAACACATGCACACTTTCCAATAGCCTGATATTTTTGTAACAATTTAATGGAGAACAGTTCTTGACACTTCTGGACATTGTTGATGAAGTTCATCGATGGTTAAACAGCTGTCAGCACAAATGTTTTCATCAATTTTTTTTTATGATTTCATCAGTGACAATGGATGACCTTCCACTCCTTATTTCTTCATGAACATCACTTCTTCCAGCTTCAAATACACAACACCATTTTGCCACGTTCTGCCTGTTCATAACATCTTTACCGTTAGCCATGAATTTCAGCACTTTCTCCTTTCGTGTGAAGAAATCGAATTACTGCATGAACCTCACATTTGGCGGGATTCTGAATCAATGTGGCCATTTTAAACATACTGTGAGCACAACATTGCCATGCCTGTGAACTTTGCCCTGTCATATGGTTTCTATCTCACATGGCAACACTGCCATTTCTGAAAGAAAAATTCCCTTGCATTTTTAGTTTCCAAATATCCCTCGTAGTTTAAAGAAAGTCAGCTGATATTCTGAAGGAACGTGTTGCCCATATCTTCAGGGTTAAAGATTGAGCCAAGCCAGAAACTAGCATGAAGCAGGCAGCATGCATTACTCACTCTCCAACCCTGAAGATAGAAGTGACATGTTCCTGCAAGACATCGGATGACTTTCAATGGAGTACAGTGTTATATTCCAGATGGCAGAACACTCTATAACCATTGCTGCGATAACCAAAAATCATATATATTCAGCTCTGTTTCAGAGGTTTGCACAACACTGGAGTTCCTTAGTGGTAGGACATGAAGCTAAATAGAAGAAATAACTGTTCAGGAGAATGAAAACAATTGCTATATTGTTGCTTGCTGGTGGTGGATGTCAAGCCAAGTATGATCATGATGTTTATGACAGAACTATACAGAATTTTTCATTAAAAATTTAGCATTCTTACCTGGTGGACTCGATGTATGTTTCGACAAACTTCATCGTGGCATTATCCGTGTTGTTGATGATGTATGGTGGTTTCTGTTGTCTTTGTAATTTCTGCACCTGTTCCTCCAGATTCTTTTTTTTTTGGTGGGGGGGGGGGGGAAAGAGAGAAGTAAAAGACTCCCAATTACAATTATTCTAAAGCAACTGGTCTCTATTTCATAGGGTCACGTTAGGCCTTCTGGTATTTTCCATGCTCCTGAGAATTGTTCCTAATGAGGAATAATCACCACACAAAACTTAATGTTTCTATACTGAATGGTGCTAGTACTGCTTCTGCTGTACAAGTTCTCGTGACAAACATCCTGCCGTCACTGATGATGAAGCTCAGAGGTAGCAGGATGGGATGGTCTGTTCATACAAAATTTCACAAAAATTGTTGAATTGATATACTGATAATGCTAATATTTGTGATTGTATCAGGAGACTGAATAACACATTCAGCTTTTTAACCCCTTCTGTTGGAATTTAAATGATCTGTTTCTTTCCTTATGCCAGCCATCATCCCAATTTTCTCATGTTTGCTAATTCCAGTCTTTATTTGTGAGCTGGGATAGTGTAGTCGGTATAGCAACTGGCTACGAACATGATGACTGAGAGGTCAGAGTTCAAAAATTTTTCTCCTCTTTACATCATCCAGACCGGCTCTGGGGCCCACCCCAGCTCCTATCCAGTGGGTACCGGGGGTAAAGCAACGGGGGCATAAAGCCAACCACTCACCTCCAACTAGTGCCGAGGTCAAGAAAATGTGGATCTATACATCTGCTCCCCCATACGCCTTCATAGAGTAGTGCTTAATTAGTTAAGCACAGGGACAACTTTACTTAGGGACACGCAGTAGGATAGCTGACTGAGGCACTATGCTACCAGCCGGAAGGTTACAGGTTCGAATCCCAATGAGGTGGATTTTTTCTGTTGACCTAATCATTCCAGCCGCATTGTGGCCCTAGGGTCGACTCAGCCTCTAACAGAAATGAGTACCAGGAATCTTCCTGGGGGGTAAAGGGTGGCTGGCATGTAAGGCTGTCAACATTGCTGCCATCCATGAGCTGATTGTCTAGAGAAAATGTGGGAACCTCAATGTCTCACAACCCTATGAGCCATCATGGCCTGTTACAGGGATAGCTTTACCTTTTACCTTTAAAAGAGATAAGTTGTGGAATCCATAAGACAGCTGCTTGATAGTTGAAGATATCAATATACTCGTGGCATCTCTTGGCAACAACTTGAGAAATAATGCCTCTTGGCAACAACTTGAGAAATAATGCCTAAGTTATTTGAAAATGATCACGTTGTTACCAAGGATGGATGCCATCTTGACTCAGCAATCAGACACAGTATTTAATACAAGTAAGTTTAAGTCTGTTATTTAACAGCATTGTCAATAACAAGGTCATATAGCACTGATGACAGATTGATTAATGAACATAAAGCAGTCAGTGGAAGAACTGGCAGGAGGAGCCAAAACACTTAGAGAAAACCTGTCACAGTGTAACTTTGTCCACCACAGATCCCACATGACCTGATGTTGCATCAAACCCAGGCTATCATGGTTGGAAGCCATGAGGGAGGGAAGCTGACCACTCACCTCCAACTAGTGCTGAGGTCAAGAAAACGTGGATTTATACAACCCTCCCCCATACACCTTCATGGCATAGTGCTTAAAATCCTTAATTAGCTAAGTACAGGGATAACTTTACTGTTTACAGAGGGTAAAGTCCATAGTCCACCATGAATAGGCTGTTTCTGTTTTCTCTGACCTTGAGAAATTTCAGTACACCTTTTACATGCTTGACCACAGGCTGAAATGTACCTTAAATTTAATGTACGTATTTTAGTCACTGCATAAATACTGTATCCATAATAACAGGGATTACAAAATGAGATATATAAGTTATAAGTGAAATTTATATTTCATGGTCAAGAATTTTCTTTTCTCCAAGTCATCCAGATTAGCTCTGGGGTCCACACAACCTCCTATCCAGTGGGTACTGGAGGCTCTTTACCTGGGGTAAAGTGGATGGGGCATGAAGCTGACCACTCACCTCCAGCTAGTGCTGAGGTCAAGAAAGGGTGGCTCTATACATCCACTCCTCCATACACCTTCATGGTGTAGTGCTTAATTCGTTTAGCATTGGGACAACTTTATCTTTTACTTATAACATAGGTAGAGAAGGTGTCCCTTGAAACCTGCTTTATATCAAAGGTCTACTGTACTTGAATGATAATGATCCCTTGATTTGTATTTGCTACACGAAACTGAAAGTGAAATATGAAATTACCTTGATGCGAGTCTTATATGAGTCAGTCAGTTGTTTCTCCTGAATTTGGATTTCTAACAGTATTTGATCACATTTTCGTCTCAGGAATACAAACTCTGCCTGTAAGCATAAAAATGTTACAAAATGATTAACAGAAATCAGAATGACCTGTCTGTTTACACTTTCAGGACAGTGGAATTTATAAATTAGCTACATCATATGGCCCTACTAATCTGCACCTCCAAGAGTTATAAGCACTTCATAATTTCTACTGTTCTATGAAATGTATCACTAGTTGAATCCCCATATGTTAATAACATTTTATCGGTAGCTCGGTTTCTTCAGCAGACAGTTTCAGCTTCTTTATAAGATGAATATCTGGAAAGTAAAGATACAAGTCCAGTAAAAATTCAAGGGAATTTTTCTTTCAGAAATGGCAGTGCTGCCATGTGAGATAGGAACCATATGACAGGGCAGAGTTCACCAGCCACAGTCACAGTAATGTGCTCACAGTATGTTTAAAATGGCCGTGTCAAATCAAAATCCCAGCAAATGTGAGGTTCATGCAGTAATTCGATTTTTTCACATGAACGAGAAACTGCAGCTGAAATTCATGACCAACTTGTTTCTGTTTATGGCGAAGATGTTATTTACAGGCAAAACTTGGCAAAAGAATGTAATGAATTTGAAGTGGGAAGAAGTGATGTTCATGAAGAAACAAGGAGTGGAAGGCCATCCGTTGTCACTGATGAAACCATAAAAAAAATGAAAACATTCGTGCTGACAGACATTTAACCATCAATGGACTTGAAGAAAGTCATCTTCTGGGATCTGACACCATGTATTCTTTGTTTCAGCCGACGTTTCGGAGGAACGTATCGCCTCCATCTTCAGGGCAGGTGAATTGCGTTGTGAATACAGAGAGCAGTAGCTGTAATGATTAGGAAGTGAAAAGCACTACTTTATATAGGAACTAGGTAGGAGGGGTGGTTAGGGAGAGGGGACCAATGGGCGCCAGATCCCAGAAGATGACTTTCTTCATAGTCATCGCCGTGAAAACCTCAAAAACTTACATCAATGGACTCATCAACAATGTCCAGAAATGTCAAGAACTGTTCTCCATGTCTGAGAGAGCAGGCGGGAGATTTCTACGACGCTGGAATTCAAGTAAATAAAAAAAAAAAGCTTTACAAATATATTCTGAGGATAGTTTGTAAAAAAAATATATTATGTTGAGTAAGAACTGTCTCTCAAGAACTGAAAAAGATTAAATGTGACTATGAAGTGATAAAATAATCAGTGAATGTTCCATTTGCCTCTACTTATGAAAATTCCTGAATGTGATCTTTATTAACATTTTTAACAGAATATATTACATCAAAAGATTTAAATTAATACACCCAAGTCACTGGTTTTTAGTTGAACATTAGATACAGAAATAAGAATGACTGAATAACTAAGGCTAATATAAAATCTTTAACATGATTCAGTTGAGTAGTCTGTTATGAAAGATGGTAGATCATATTACATCAGAACTCCAACATATATATATGTATCTATATCATGACACTGTTCTGCAGAGATATTGGTATTTCATTTTCATGTTATAACAATCAAACAAACAACAATAAATTCCATGGTTTTAGTCCACGAGCGAACTATACCTACTGAGCGACTGCCACTTTGCAGCAAAGTTAGTGCCAACTTTAGCGGATAGGCGCTGTTGCATGGTCAGTGCAACGAATCCCCAGAACCGTTAATTTCGGTTTTCTAGACGAGAGCCACTATTTTCTTGATATAGCTCAATTATCCTCACAGGGCTGAGTGGACCCCATTCCAGACCCACTACTTCTCAGAAGTCTGGTAGTATTGGGAATCGAACCCGGATCTCTGAATCTGTAGCCAGGAACCCTGACCACTAGACCACAGAGGCAGTCGATGTTATAAAAATCAGAAAGGTAAAAGAGAGCTTTATGGACTTACACTGATCCTATTGTCTTCAGCACATTTATCCATGTACATTTTTTTCAAATGACGGTACTTGTGAAGAACGGCATCCAGTCTTTTTTTCATGTCCAACCGTTTATCCTCAACTTCAGCAAACAGTGAGTTACCCTTCTGGCCTTTAGGCTGTGGATTAGACTTGAGGACCTCTAGCTCAGTTTTAGTTATCGCCAGTTCTGCTTGAGCACTCTGCAATAAATATGCATGGGCTACATTCCAAAATTGCTCAACAGATATTTCTGATTCATGTAGACTGAAGTAATGGGAATGGTATTTAGGATATAGTCTCTGAACTCCCCGTTGTTCACGACATTACAGTCTAATTTTAAAACAAGAGTCCTGTCACATCCTCTGATATTGTCCATAATGGGTGTTGATCATTCTTTTTTGGATGCTTCAAGTATTATCAATGTTGTTGATATAGCCATCCTAGAAAATGCTCATGAATACTGTGGTGTGGTGCTACTACTCTCTTCAGTTTGTTTAAATTTGAAGAACATTGTGCAAGTAGATAAGACTTCACAACTTGCTATACCTTAAAACAGTGGTTCTTGACCATTTTTGGCTAAGATAGCATTCTTAGAACATTCAAATCCATGACCCAGGCAAAAAATGACAATTTAAATTTGGTTTTTGAAATTCAAATGCATATATTATTCAAGAGTCATGAAAGTTGTGTGAGCATGTCAAAAATTACATCTGTATTTTGTTTGTTCATAGAAAATAAAAATTAGAGGGAAGGTTTTCCTTGTTTCACTTTAGTCATGAACATTTACCAAGACTCACAGAAATACTGATGACAATAACAAAGATGTATACCCACATCTTGTTTGTCCACAGAAAAAAAAAGCTGGAGGGAATATTGTGCTCATTTAGCTTCTGCCAGTTTTTATTTATAAAAATCTGTACCAGTAGATGCATGATGAAGACTTTTCAAAATTGAGTTTATTTTATGTTTAGATTTTATTTGAAGCAAACCCCTGAAAACCCTAAGCACACTCATGTACTCTATGAACCAGGATATGTTACACCTTATGCAGACAATCTTATGGAAGAAATAACCTGTGTATGGATGTTTCCATTTTCCACTGGTGTATGAATACTGGTAGTATGTTTAAAACAGAATCTGGTAATATTATAATGGTGATGCAATGGTCTGCATCATTACCTGAAGATGATGTAACCTCAGCCCATTGGGGGATGGAATAACCTAGTTGCAGAAGGGAGGATTTTCAAAATGATACTGTGATATTATAACTCTTCTGGAAACTGAGTTCAATTTCTGACAGTAAACTTTCATCCAGAGTTGAAGCTATTTTGTCCTCCTGAGTGTATTAGCATTACATTTCAAGGTCAGAATTCAGACATACCATAAGGCAGTTCTTACAAGATGCCAAATCCTCTTGTTTCACTGCTAAACATGCATTAGCTTCACTCAGGTCACTGGTTAGTTCTGCTATCTTCGTTGTTAGTTGGATATTCTCATCTTTTATTTGTTGACATTGTATATGGAGTTCTACTGCTTTCTCCTGTAATGCTTCATTTTCCAACTGCAATAATGAAACAAATTAAATAATGTCATTTCTTTATAAAAGGTATAGAACAGACATGTTTGTTGGCATTAAGTATATGAATCTATATAAATGAGCTGATATACAACAGAATTTTTATATAACTGCAACCTTGAATAAATTAACCAAGACCTAGATGAAAAGGGTAAGTTTAAATGAAGAGGGAATAGCAGTTTCAAGCTTTTATTGCAGATCAATGGCCATGTAAATTCTGATTCTTGGTAACAGTAACATGTAGATGTATTGTCCACATTTGGGAGATTCCTACTGTCTCCATGTTCACACTGAAGAGGGACACAATGAGGAACTCCAAAATGTTGTCAATATAGCCTACATTTACACGTTTCCACCACCTAAACATCAGGAGTCACATTAGTATTAAATATGAATTCTTGGTAATGTATAAAAGATTGAAGAGGAGCATGTATTAATCGGAGAGCTCTGAAGGACTATGCATGAAACAGAGATTTGGAAATTATATCCTCTTCATAGTGACCACTTGTCAGATGATTTCAATCAGTAGAAAAGCCGCACGGAAATACGTTGGATAATCTTTTCCTTAGCAACTTCATTCTTCACCCCCTTTCTTCCTTTCCTTTATGCCTTTCATATGTTCAAAGCATTAATCAAGTTACATCCTTATCCTTCAGGTGGCGCAGTTTCAAACACAGAGTTGGCACCTGTACAAGTATATAAAAACTGCACGTTTTTATGAAAATGGAATGAGAATGACATAACACATACTGTCACAAACCATCTTCTATTATAGGCCTATATATAAATAATGCTGGCACTAGAGTATGCTTACAGACAATAAAGAAATATCTTAAATCAGTTAACATCCTCTCAGCTTATTTTCCCAATAGTAATTTTAATTTACTCTCCTCTCCTTGTTGATCTTCCATGTGGTCACCTTCTATTCCCCATTCAATGTTTCTTCCACCCAAACTGTGTGCCCAGTTCAGTCATACTTTGCAAAACAGAAATGTGTTATACAAGGGCAGATTATGAAGTGTATGCACATGCTTCTCATAAATTTATAATTTTATTATTGTTTTTTTTTCAGTTAAAAGATTCTATTTTTGCCGTGCCAATCAAGTAATAGAGTACCAGATGCATACACTGCCATCTAAATAATCCTAACAATGTATGAAACCTACAAACAGCTTGACTAAACATGCAAATTACTGAATGCAGATCATATTGTGCAAGTGGAATTTTCTTAAAAATTATGCACATGGAATTTTCATAGGATGTATCTTAAAATAGGGGGCCCCATTCTTAGGAACAAATCTAATTGAGCTTCAGAAGTTGTAAAACATCTAAAATGGTATTTCCTTAAATAATTTAGGTGTACTTATTACAAACAATGGTGGCTTTCTGACAGTCACCTGCAATTCTCTCAGCTCATCACTATTCCTTGCATCAAGCACTTCTTCCAGATGTTGCTCCATCTGCTTCACTTTACATTCCATTTCCTTAATTTCAATCTTATGAGTGTCCTCTTCAGATTTCTTCTCTTTCTCCAACAAGATAATCTATTAACACAATATATCATCATCAGCAATTTTTCTTCCTTCCACATTTACACTTTTATGTTGTTCATCTAATTTTAAGGGAGGGATATTCATTGAATAGGAGGCTGGGTGGGCCCCAGAGCCAGCCTGGACGACATGGAAAGGAGAAAAATCTTGCCCCTACTGCAACTCAAACTCCAACCCTTTGGCCAGCCAGCCCATAACCTATTGGAATACCAACTGCTCTGTCACAGCTCCTGATCATGTATCATTAATAACGTTTCTTTTAACAGGACTGCATGATAACTCATTTATTTATTAGTGATTGATGTGCTTAAAATTGCTTCTTCAGTTACTTCAATTACATGCATCACGTGACGGGATGAGAAGTAAATAATATAAATCAGACAGGATGCAGAATGAAAAGGTCATGTCCTTATTGAAGACACTAACCACTCACCCATCTGGAAGGATGGAGGGAAACCACAGAATACCTGAATCAATAAAGCCAGCCTCTGAATCAAGATTTGAATCCTCAGCAATCCAAACATAAAGCACGAGTGCTAAACATTCAGCCACAATTTCAGTACAGGACTGTACACCTCATAGCTATAATCGTTGCTACAGATGATGCCAAGAGACTATTTGAACACAACACAAAAAAGTTAATATGAGGATAAAGAACATTATACGAGGTTATCAAAAAAAGAATGCTGGGATTATAAAAAACTCTCACTCAAAAACTGTTAAACATATTGATAGATTCAAGCATTAAATTGCTAAGAAATGTCTGAAGTTTGTCTTACCTTAGTATGTTTCGATTTATGCTCCAATTGTCGCTCGGCAGATATCGAGACCGTATTCAATCTCGTGCCAATTCCGCTGAATCATATCTGGAGTTACTGTTGTAATTTGGCTGTGCCATAGCTCAAGCGGTTAATCGCCGGCTTCCCATCGTGGCGGCCCGGGTTCAATCCCGGGGTCTGGTCCAGTGGGATTTGTGATGGACAAAGTGGTGCTGGGGCAGGTTTTCTCTGAGTACTTCGGTTTCCCCTGCCAATCTCCATTCCACCAATTGCTCCACAATCACCCTCACGTATCATCTGGGGCTGGTACAATAGGCCAGAAGTGGCCGCAGTACAAGAGACTTATTCCCACAAAAAAAGTCCATCAGGGTAAAATCTGGGCTTCTGGGGGGCCAGAAGATTGGTCTGCCTCTTCCAGTCTAGGCCTTCCGCACAAGTTATATCAACTGGTCAACCAGCAAAAACATCTCAACGTTGCTTGCTACCCACCATCGACTGAGCATATCCAAAAATAATGTTATTTCACCATATTTTAAAACCTGAATCATTTTGATATGTTCAACAGTTTTTAAATGATAGGTTTTTATAATCCCAGCATTCTTTTTCGATGACCCTGTGTAAGAAACTTCAAAATGTTTACTCAACATCAAATATTATTACAGGGATGGACTGGCCCAAAATTTTAGTCAGAGAACCTGAATAAAAGAAACCACTTGAGAGATATCAGTATAGATGTGAAGAAAACATTAAAGTGGATAAAATAAACAGGGTATTAAATGGATTCTAACTGGCTGAGGATGAGGTCCATTGTCAAGATCTTATGAATTTAGTAACGAATCTTAGGGTTCCATAAAAGATTGGGAATTTCTTGACCATTTCAGGAACTATCAGCTTCTGAAGATGGCATCTGCTTCGGTTAGTTTACTGATAACCACTGCAGACAGTCATACATGGTACGGCCATCAAGTTCGTGGAATGTGGTTTTATCGCATCATCTTACAAGGTATTCACATACACTTATGCAGATCCACATCGGCCCTCAAAATAGTTGCCGTTGGCTGCTATGGAAGTCTGCCAATGTTGATATAGCTGTCAAAAACATTGCTGAAACATATTGGCAGTAAATTCCCGTACGACGCTTCGCGGCCATTCCACGAACTTATTGACTGTGGCAGAATAACATTTTATACCGAGATATATATGAAACATATATTTTGTATGTAAAAAATTACAGACATGGCAATGGTGTAAATTATGACTACTTTCAAGTATCTGGAACCTATACCAGTCAAAATTATGAAGATGAATACATTACTAGTTGCATAACCATTCATTCATAACTCATACTATCCTCTCCATGTAGATAGAAGCTTGTTAAAGTAAAATATATTTTCACGATTCACAATGCAGCTAGCAAAGTAATATTATTGTTATTACTTGCCTTCTCTGACAGCTCTTTCACAGTAAGTGAAAACTTTCCTTCCAAATCTTTCTCTCGGAGCACTGCAGCTGCTTGATCTATGTCATATTTCTTCTGTATAGCTTCTACATCAGCAGAATGTTCCTTTTGCATCATAAGTGCTATAGCAAGTTCAGACTGAATCTCATGGAGTTTCTGTTTGTACATCTGTAAACATAAACTCTTTCAGACATCTTGTTGAAATGATGAACTTGAACTTTGTCACATTTTCAAAGGACAGAATAGTATAATGATTTTCCCTACATCTTAATCACAAGATTTTAATATATCATTTTTTTTATTCGCTTAGTGGGGGGTGGAGTCCAGCTGGGTCCACTCGGCACGGCTGCCAATGATTGGCCTATTGTAGCCTGCCCCGGGTGATTATGATGACGGAGAATTTTGTGGAATGAAGATTGGCAGGGGAAACCCGAGTACTCGGAGAAAGCCTGCCCCAGCGCCACTTTGTCCACCACAAATCCCACTTGACCAGACCTGGGATCGAACTTAGGCCACTGCGGTGGGAAGCCAGCGACTAACCACTTGAGCTGTGGTGCGGCCATCGTTCCTTTTATCTATATGTATTTATAATCTAAGTATTTCATGCACTTTAAGAAACCTTACACGTACTTCTTGGTATTTATGTTTCCATTCAAGAAGTCAATGCCATCAGCATTAGCATGTACTTAAATCAATTCCAAACTCTACTGCTTCTATCAGACTTTCATAATGGTACACTTTTCAGCAGAAGCAAAAAGCAATAAGCATCCATTATTTTAGTCTACAGACAATGATCACTTAATGTCAGGAATGAATTCCTGGGTAACACGCTGTTAAGTGACATGAAGTAAACTGATTTGATATTTCCATTAAAGAAAAGGTAAAGTTATCCCTGTAACAGGCCATGAAGGCCCATAAGGTTTTGAGATGACAAGGCTTCCATATTTTCTCTAGACAATCGCCTTACTGATGGCGGTAAGGTTGTCAGCCTTATACACTGGCCGCCCTTTACCCCCCAGGAAGATCCCTGGTACTCATTTCTGTTAGAGGCTGAGTCAACCCCAGGGCCATGGTGCAGCTGGAGGGATTAGGTTAACTGAAAAAATCCAACACATCGGGAATTGAACCTGCAACCTTCCAACTTGTAACATAGTGCCTCAACCAACTACACTACTGTATGCCCCTAATATTTCCATAATATTAACTAAAACAGCTGCCACTCCAAGACTCCATATACAAACCGTTAACAAATTAAAAATCAAATACAATTTAATGAAGGAAATAATAAAGGAAAGTAAATGCAGATACACTTTCTAATAACATAATTAATGTACATATTCATTTTACAGTTTTTGCCTCTTCAGTGTTCTCATTTTATATTATGGCTTTCTTCATTTCCTTAACTACTTGTTCTAGAAATCTGTCTGAAGATGACTGTCGAGTCTGTTTCTCCTTTTCAACATATAACTCCCCATAGCTGGCTATGGCACTGTTGATTGCCCTAGAGACTGGAGAGCTGTCCTCTGTGTGGGTATGTTTCATGCATCATTCCCACTTCTAGTCTCTGGAAGAATTCAGACAAAAGCTCTCAAATAGGCATCTTCTCTTCCTCAGGTGCACTCTGCACCATTTGAGTTCAACAGAGTCCTCCACACAGCATTCATACATACTGATGTTCCATCTGCTATGATTGCACAGAGTTGTCAATGGCATTTAAGATGTATATCTTCCAAATGCATGCTGGTGATCTGGATTGAAAATACAAGGGAAAACTTTCTCACTCAATACTTTACTTTCTCCACATTCATCTGAAGTATCTGTGCACTTGTTGCATGTAATCACAAGAGCTGTAATGACTTACAGAGCAACATTAAGGGATTATTGTACTCTGTACAGTACAATCTTCTGAGCTGTAACACCATGTAATTCCAAGAGAACCTAACACTTCAGAAGACTGTACAGCCTCCATCTTCAAAGTCTCAGCTCACCATCAACTTCTGCTGGTTTCCTCCTTCATTTAATCTATGGCTCTGAAGATGAAGGTGATGTGTTTCTCCAGAACTTTGGGATCCATCCATACCATACAATGTAAAACCCAGAAGATCTCACTCTTCATGTTTACTTTAGATTCAACTGAACTAGTTTTCTGGGTACAGCAAACCCTCAGCAACCATAGGAGTTGGCAAGACCAAAGCCTTTTGGAAATTCAGGGTTCATGGTTCCTGTTAGCAGTACAAATCCAGCTTTAGCAACCTTCCCACAAGGTTGTATTAAAGCTGTGGTAATGTTACCATAGTGATATTTAAGATTCTGCATATAGTAAACCCCTTGCACTATTAGCATCAAGTTCTTGACAGATCAATCGTCTATCCCTGTAATTTTAGTGAAAAAAGGAGTGATAATTAAAAATTATTATTACAAAGGTANATATTTTGAATATAAGCCGCACCCCAGTTTTCCTCTTGAATTTTTGGCAAAAAATGTGCGGCCTATACGTGCGTAAATACAGTATTTCAGATTCTGCATATAGTAAACCCCTTGCACTATTAGCATCAAGTTCTTGACAGATCAATCGTCTATCCCTGTAATTTTAGTGAAAAAAGGAGTGATAATTAAAAATTATTATTACAAAGGTATTCCATGAAAGAACAAGAACTGCATTCATCATATCATGACCTCTTATATCAGGATGCTTATCCACAATACTTAATTACTGTTTCAAACTCTGATGCAACCAAGACCATGTGCCAAGAACTGATAAAGATGTTCTAAAAGTAGACTGTTGTGTATAAAAATAAATACACACACACAGGCTGAAAACATTAGAATAGTCAAGTAACATGGACATACCCCACAAGTAGGAACAAGTGGAAATAAGTTTCTACAGCACAAGTTCATTGAAAATGACACAATTTCAGTGAGTCAACATGAAAAAGAAACTGTTAAACAGAACAAATCACAGAATATACAAGAACATGCGAGGGCATTTCTAGGCAACATATTCCAGCTGACAGTAGAGTCAGAAGAAAAAACCGAATAAATGCAAGAACATTAATTTACAGGAATGACTGAATTTGTTAAGTTCTGAAATTACTACAGCTGGCACATCCACAGATGCACTTCAAATATTTCCTGATACTAGGTTCTTCAGAATCATTCATGAAGAAACCAATAGATATAAGCAGATAAACAAAAATAGCAAAGGCCCTCTAAGACTGAAATTATTGTGTGCACTGTGGCAACCAGTTTTACAATAAGACGTATAAACTATTCTGCAGTCATTGTACATGTGTTTATGTGGTATGATATGGGTTTACTGGTGCACACAATGAATCTTGCAAATTAGTTATGCCATTTCCAGCCGCACTATGGCCATGGGGTCGACTCAGCCTCTAACAGAAATGAGTGCCGGGAATATTCTTGGGGGTAAAGGGCGGCCGGGGCGTAGGGCTGACAACCTTGCCACCATCTATGAGCCGACTGCCTAGAAAATGTGGGAACCTCAACATCTCACAAACCTATGGGCCTCCATGGCCTGTTACATGGATATCTTTACTTTTACATGCCAATTGGAATATCACAGCCTGAGTATATTACATCTAAATGACAAGACACACCAAAAGATTAAACACACTACAACCCATTATGTAAAATACAATCAATTTTACAAATCCTCATAAAGAAAAGTGCCAAGAATCCTTCACATTTCATGAAGTAATATGTGATTTTGGGGGAGAACATATTATATTTCGTTTACATGAAAGGGAAACCTCATAGTACAGCATCAAAATGTTGGAATTATGTGAAACCATAAAACAGTTTCATTATCTCCAGTTTCACAGGAATCTGATCCCATTTGAGTTATCCACTTCACACAAATACAATAGGAGATATCACAGACATAAAATAATGTCATTTTTGTAACAAAATAAAAAACACACATAAACACTATGGGTTTCCATAAAGACAAAAATATAGGGAGATTTTCAGTATCAGAGATTTTCAACATCAGCAAACTAATTCACACAGATGGTAATGTTCATACCAGCTTCTTGTAAGTGATGACAACACTGGAATAAATACCTCAACTATCTGTTGCATTTCATTCACCTCCAGTAAACCATTATGGCTCTCCATTGCAGGCAAAACACAATCCAGTGCAGATGCAAGCTGTTACAATCAATAGAAACTTAATTAAAATGTGATACCAATTTGGATAGTTCTCAGATTGTCACATTTTGTTCCCACAACTTTGTTAATTACTGTGCAGAAACTTTTCTTTCAGTCATGGGTTGATAAATCTGGTTTAGATGTGAAATTCACCACTAAATGTTACTTGTATACATTGATATGAATGAAAATATATATTTCATTTCATTTTTTCATTTACTTACTGCATTCTGTCAATCCATATAAGGTCAAACCAACCTGTTGGATATAGAATCTGTCATGTTTAAACATAAAATAATAAAATATACATCCATATCCATGTTTGAACATAAAATAATAAAATATACATTCCTAACCCATACAAGGATAAATGAAAACACTAAGACCACTATAAATTAGTGCAGTCATATACAATAATACAAACACTGATACAGTTGTAGTGGATACATAAGCTGTGTAATTATATTATCCATAGGAGAGACAATCAAGACAAAGTGTTCATTGAGAAGTTGATTTATAATATTCATCAGTACTATAAAAAGCATGTTCAGTGAGATAGCTTTTTAATAAAAATTTGAACTCTATAATATCTTTGGATAGCAATTTAATGTTTGAGGGTAAGTGGTTATAAATCTAGCTACCGGAGAAAAGCACTTCTTCTTGAACTATTGATAGATTTGTCGAAGGTAAATATAAATTGTGATTATAATGTGTGTTGATATCATGAATATCGGTATTAGCTATAAAATAATTTCTGTTCTTAACGACAAAAAGAAGTAAGGAGAAAATGTACTGAGACTGAAGTGGCAATATTTGTAATTTTTTAAACAATCTGCGGCATGAATCCAGTCTACCCGAACCAGATATAACTCTTATTATTCTTTTTTGAATTTTTAAGACACTCTCATTATGAGGGGCATTACCCCAAAAAGATAATACTGTGACGTGTTGCGCTATGCAGGACACCCCTCCCCCCACCAGCGGTGACGTGGCCAAGGGGTGACGCGGTTGCTAGGCAGCAGTAAACAACTCCCGACAGCGTTGCTAGCAACACGGCGCCAGACAACAGTGGTGCCTATTACATGGCTGTTTTCTGTGTTGTCCGGAATGAGGCTAAATAAGGAGCAGCAAAGACTATTCATAGTTAGTTCTCAAGTTCTTGAGTTATCTAGTTACGAGTCAGTCGCCAGTTAATTGCAGTACAGTATTTGTGATACTGCCAATGGCAGTAATGTTGAGCTTGTAAATTGTGTGATTGTAAGAGCGAATGTGAAATAAAATTCGCTAAATCAAATACGGCGTGAAGTTATTTGTCACGTTATACACCCAACACGTGACAATACCATATGAAAATAAAGAATGAACATAGGAATAATAGATCATCCTCATTGATTCAAGTGACATAAACAGCTTTATTGTCCTTATTGCATAACAAGCCTTATTTAACATTGATGATAAATCCATAATATGGTTCTTCCAAGATAAGGTACTATCAACATTTATTCCTAAGAATTTAGTAGAATTGATATTTGTAATAATTGAATTATTAGATATTATTTGCAATTCTATTTCCCAGTGCTTTTTATAAGGAATTGTATAAGGTGTGATTTATCACAATTTAATGTTAGAAAGTTACTATTAAACCACATAATTATTTTGTTAAGAACTAATTCGATATTATTTTTAAATTCTTCAGGATTCTTCTTCAGGTCCCGTGTCGTAGATTTATGGCACGTATAAGAACCTCATGTCTCTAGGAGACCTCTGAGCTAAATTTGGCCAAAAAGTTTCCCGCCCAAAGTAGTTTCCAATGCCTCTGATAGATGGGGGAAGTATTAGGTACCACTGCCAGAGGAGGGGGGACCTCTCTGACAGAAAGGGACTAACTATTAGATACCACTGCCAGTAGAAGGTTGGAACCTCGCTGGCAGAAAGGGGCTGATAGTAAGCACCAGTACCGGTAGGGTATGGAGACAGTAGAAATTAAAAGGGGGATGCACAATGGACCAATAACTGGTCTAAGTGCATGGGGAAGCCCACCCCCTCAATACTGAATACTGAATACCTATTTCATCAATTCTCAGGTGATGTTCAGATAAGCAGATGATTTGTGGCGCATTAGCAGATAAAGAAATTAAAAATTCATCAACTTTCTTAATAATTCCTCATATATTTTGATGGAGAATTGTTAATTTGGATTTTTATTATCATGCACTATTTTATTGGAGGGGTAATTATTCTTACTATGGACAATGCCGTCGAATTGCCTGACATTATTCTTTTTGGTAGAGTTCATCATAGCCAATTGATTAGCACTAAAGTTACCCATAAAGAATCTTGGGACTTTGTTACTGGAATTTTTTTGTTGCGATTGGAGGTCCTAATAGGAGCTTTAACTAGGTTTTCTTCACATAATGGGGTATCCTTATCTTGCAATTCTTTATGCCAACCGAGACTTATTGGAACCTGAACTTTCTGTTCAAAAAAAGATTGTATAAAGGAGGCTATCAAATAAGTAGCCAGCGTTTTCCCTAATTTATTTTAATGCAGCCTATGATTAGTAAATAATTTTCTATTATTGTCAATTTCTATCACGTTAGCGTGGGGAAAAGCTTTTATTAGTTTCTTAATTTTCTTGTTTCAAATAGATATGCTGCTATTCACAAAAGCTGTATTAGGCAGATCATATCTAAATTGCACGTTCATCACAGCTATATTTGTGTGTTTATTAGATTGTATGAAATTAGAGATATTTCTCGAAACTAATGAGAACTTATTCAATTCATAGTCGTTTGTCCCACTACAAATTACTATTAAGTCTTCATTAGATAATTTACTAATCTCCTCTTTGGCTGAGTTCTTCAGTTTACAAGAACTAGATCCAGGTTTAACTACACTGTATGTCTCATAATTTTTACTAAGTAGGGGAGTCAAATTGCATCCATAACCTCTAAAGTGACTGTCACCAATAAAAATTACTCTATGTTTACTTGCTAGGGCATAGTTATCACTGTTTCTTATATAAGTGGACAGACTTAAGAGTATTTATGCTATTCTCAAAAAAGTAATTATACTTCACATCAGGCATTTGCTTGTTATTTACACAAATTACACCATTCACAACAGTTGGAATAGTCTGGTCTTCATTTTCCATTGTTGCCTAGTGGAGGTTCCCTTTGGAAGTTTTACTCCTCCTAGGTTCTTTATAATTCTCATACTAGAATATAATAGAGTATGCACATGTACATTATAATACTTTATTATTTAACAGACAAACATCAAGGGTTAGACATGATAAAAATGAATATAAGGTACATGAAACTCGTATCATTTCCATTGGCTGACACTACTTTCACCCATTTCTACCTATTATCTTTTAGGGACCAATGTTCCTCCTGACGGTAACAGTTTCCAGTTTTCTTTGATCACTCATGTTGTTCCATTGTTCGGAGCAATGTGGGAACAATTTTACAGACTGGTGACAACATATTTGTGCCTGTGCCTCCTTACAGGGCACCTACATACAGACAACAAAGTCTGTGCCACATCCCCCTGACAGACTCACTCCTCTCCCCTACTCTTGCTCTTTTGCCATATTTACAGCAAAAACCAGTGGTTGTATTAGAGAATAAACATATTTGTAACCATACATAATCCCTGTAAGATTTGAGGCTTTCACGGCAGTGACTATGAAGAAAGCAGTACACGGTGCCAAATCCCAGAAGACTGCTTTCTTCATACATAATCCCTCTTTCCTAAGAGGGCCGCGCCATAGCTCAAGCTGTTAGTTGCTGGCTTCCCACTGCGGTGGACCGGGTTCAATCCCGGGTCTGGTCAAGTTGGATTTGTGGTGGACAAAGTGGCGCTGGGGCAGGTTTTCTCTGAGTACTTCAGTTTCCCCTGCCAATCTTCATTCCACCAATTGCTCCACAATCAGCCTCACCTATCATCTGGGGCTAGTACAATAGGCCAGAAGTGGCTGTAGTACAAGGGACTTAGTCCCACCCCACTAGCAATAAAAAAAATAATAATCCCTCTTTATTTGCATGATCAAAATACAGTTGTTTAGGCCCTTAACAATACAATACATAATTAGAAGCAAGGCTAATAAGCTGTTGCAAGTCAACCAGTGTTTTGAAAGAACATGTCACCTCCATCTTCACAGTCAAAGGGTAAACCAAGCAAGAAAGCAGCATGAAGAAGACATCACGCAGCAAGCTGGTCCAGAGGGGAAGGAAGACAAATGGCAGGAGGAATGAAAGGAGAAGAGGAAAGGGCATCTAGAATTGCTACTAGAGCTACAACGAGAACCTGAGCCAAGCAATTCAAGTGATCCAACACAACTGTAATTTGATATTACCTAACTTACCACCAAATTTGCATTTCATTAGAAGTGCATAACCATGTTTATGGAGCACATGAACAAAAACCGTATTACTTAGAATATAAGACGCACATTTTAGATATTATTTCCCACTGAGATGTGTCTTAAATTCAAGGAATGTGCACCTTTCTAATTTTCTCCTAAAACCCATATTCAAAAATTGGATGTATCTTAAATTTGAGGACATCTTATATTCAAAGTAATAAGGTATATCCGTTTCAACTTCAGTGCTGCAACTACAGTCTGTCAAAGAATGCATAACTTCATGTCATGGTTGAGTGGTTAGCACAGCTTTGTATCTGGGAGGCCTCCAAATTCAAGTCTCAGCATGGAGACAGCTGCCCTGACTGAAAATTTTCATGGGCTTCTTCTGTCCCTCCAGGTAAATGCCAGGATAGTAATCTTAGAACAATGGTGATAATCAAAAAGAAGTTGAAATTTTCAGTGGTGACTGATAAGATTGTTGTCTTCTGCGTTGTGAAACCATGTAGTCTTGTCAGCAGAAACCAATGTTTCAGAGGAACAGTCTATCTCCATCTTCAAGGTTCACTGTGGCCCTGAAGACGGCAGCAGCACGTTCCTCTGGAACGTCGGTATCCGGTTACAAGACTACACGGTGCCACAGCCCAGAAGACGACAAAACAGGTTATTACTACATTTACATAATCATAATTTTATTCATAACCTATCTATACCACATTCATTCGATGTGATGTGTTCAGAAACAAACCATCTTTCCACACATGCTATTTCAATGCCGTATAAGTGAAGAAATATTAAAGATATAAACTAACAAGTTTCATGTAACGTTCAAGAACAATCTTAAAAGTCAGCAGGTACCATGTTATTTTATTTCACTTACTGATTTCACAGCTTGAAAAGTACCTACACACCAATCCCGTAAAAGAATCCCCTATATGTACTTCCAAACGTTCCAAACCTTCCAAAGCGTTTAAAAACACGAGCGCATTCAAGTAGATTCAGTTTGACCAACAACGCAATAAACAATACTTACATCCCTATCATTGCCGCGATATCCCAGAATTTCTTTACGATCTCTAGAATCTTGTCGAAATTTTATCGAAAGCGTTATATCTCCTGTACATGTTAGTTTCACCTAATAGATTTTTATTTCAATTTCATATTATAATAATATGAATGGAATTTATGTTGTACCCTTTCTCAGGCTTGTATTTTCATATTCCCGCATATTTTGTTTGTTCCCTTCTAAATGCCTGACTCATACAAATCAATGTTTGAGTTTGCATTGGCCATTTCTGCTTTGTTCTAATAATTTGGAATAGACATGGATATATTGAGGCAGCGGAATAAATTTCCATTACATCGCATGCGCTTCCTCATTTCCATCAGCGGCGTATTTTCCAACATTCATCTTCAGCCTATCCTTATGCCCTCACGAACATTGGTTACGTGGTGTTGGCCTTAATTTATTTAAATTACAACTAGATCGAAGTTCCCCTTCTGCAACTGACAGGAATTAAAGTGGCTGATCTTTAACACAAAGAAGAATTTTGTTTGTTTATGAAAAGGCAATGGACGATTGAATACAATTCGGCATAGAAATGGCATAAAATACGAAGCTTGGCGTCCATTTGTCTATAATCCGTCTACTCTTTTTATTTTGCACTTCAATACACTCTCTAATATTACATGTTTCGGCCTCAAACGGCCATCTTCAGGTTTTTTTTTACAGATATTCAATTAAGATTGTGTCAAAACTGCTACACTGTTTCACTGTTCCAATTCGTTTTAAAAACCACACGATGTACAGTGGCGTAGCATGACTACCGAAAGCAGGGAAGCAACTTTATATACGTGTATATAAATTTTTTCTACATATCCTATAGTTTCTATCTTCTATTTAAAAGAAAACAGCTAATAGTTTAATATGTATTCTAAATTTAAGGTAATATATTAAAATAACACATAATTATCAACACAATTTTATAGCCATCAAATGAGAGGGCTGTGAACCTGGAATATAATTAATGCTTACTTTATTGTTTATAATTCAGCTCGATTCTTCTGTTTTTCTTGGCAAACAGATCAATAACCTCATCTAGAAAAATGGGTTTGGACTGCAGTTTGTTTAGGAAGGACTTTTCAATGTTCATCAAAGCCAGTGATGACAACCTATCCTGGTTCTGCGAATTTCTAGTAAGCACGCTTAACTGCAAGGTCACAGATTATTCTACTGCAAACTGTGCCTTACATCTGACAACATTGCTGGAAGCACGAAGCTGGTAGCATACCATAGCGCATAGCTCACTTACACACAACACTGACATTGAGTCAGCCAGTTAACCCAGGGGAGGGTGGAAGCGAAAGACCTGCTGCTTCCGCGGGTGTTGCAGTTTAAATTTCCCTGCATTTTGGAAGAAAATAACTGATCTATCCTGATAAATTGTCTATGTAACACATTAAAACTTGCAATATTCTCATTATATGTAATATATGTTCTCAGATTAATTAATATTTTGAAGTATGAAATATTTTTTTGAAATTGAAAAATTGCCAGAAATGTTCTTGGTTGCTTTTCTATAGGGAAGCAATGCTTCCACCACATCCATGTACCCTACGCCCCTGGATGTAGTCCTCTTTTTAATTAAAATGAGATAATATTCTTTGTATAATTTGTTACTTATTGTTTTTCTTTACTCAGGGTGTCGTCCTTCCATAAAATATAAGAAGTTTTCCTTGGCAGCTTGTGCCTCACATTAGTTATTTTCTCCTGGTTTGTGTTTCCTCCTCAACCCTGAGTGAAGCAAAACAATAAGTAATAAATTATAAAAGAATTTTATCTCATTTTAATTAAAAAGAGGACTACATCGTGTGGTTTTTTAAAGGAATTGGAACAGTGAAACAGTGTAGCAGTTTCGACACAATCTTAATTGAATATATGTAAAAAAAAAACCTGAAGATGGCCGTTTGAGGCCAAAATATGTAGTGTTAGAGAGTGTATTGAAGTGCAAAATAAAAAGTGTTGCAATTTAGACGGATTATAGACAAATGAACGCTAATGTGAACAATTGCAACAGGATTCTGAAATACAGAATACGAAGCTTTGATTAACATCATCAGAAAAGTAAGCTATATTTTCTTGACTCAATTCCGGTTTCTTTGTCATGCGTATATTCTGTGAGCGTAAGCTTTAATGGTATTCGTTCAATTGCAGCTGAAGTGCCCGTATTCTACATTAGGCAACGCCGGATAGCTGGGTTGGACACCGATTCCTTAAGGGCCCCACAGACGTACGCTAAGATGGACAGTCTATGGTCCCCAATAGTCTCACACGGTCTCATACACAACCACATCTCATATGCATTTTAATTTTTTGTATTCTACAGATTTTTCTCCCCATAAGACACTAACGCTAGTCAGCGTTGTTCAAGTAATGGACAAGATTCATGCATGTGTTGTAACCGCACCACTGCCATGCACCAATTTGAATTTAATTAAGTTTATTAGTTAGAAATTTAATTGTTTCACAGTGGGATGTAATGAACAAGTCAGTGAGACATAGGCCTATTCTTGCATGTAAGAATTAGCGTATTCTCACACTTGCAGTAGAACAAGAAAGAAACCCTGTGGATATTTCTGAGAATTTTAGCTCGAAAGTGTAACTGCGGCAGTCTGAGAATTCGAAACTTGACAGCTTCTGCAGATCGTAACTTAAAGATGGGAGTGTCCTGAGACCTAAGCCAGCGTAGCATTTATCAAGCTACTGGCAGAATGTACGTTAAGTCTTTGAAGCCTAAATTCCCTGTAATCCTTAAACGGATTAAGGAAATATTTAATTAAGGTACTCCTATTTTCCAAAAGTGAGCAATCACTAGAATTTAAGGGTGTGACAGAGCCAAGAAGCTGAAGGACCAAAGACGTCACGGTTTGGAAAGAAGTCAGTTGTCGAAGTCAGTCACACACCAGCCACACCAGTTCTCTTTGAATACAGAAGCAAAACTTGTGTCAGTCAGTTGAAAGTTATAAATAGTAAGACTACAAGCAAAAAGTGTTGTTTTTCAAAGAAATATAAATACAAAATTAAGCAAGTTACAAGAAAAAGTAGATTGAGTAACAAAGGGCATAAATGTTTAATAATAGTAAACCGGTTAAACTTGATATGTGCGTGTGCCGACTAATGAGCTAAATTTACTGATTTCGGAGTTTGTATTAAAAAGTGGGGCAACATAAATGTTTAATAACAATAATAAACCAGTTAAACTTGATATGTGCTTGTGTAGCTTTGAATTTATTTCCTGCCTTCTCAGAGTTGAGGCTCGTTAAAGGCTTTGAGAAAAAGAGAAAAGCTCTACCGAATACAATAAACCTCACTTCCTTATATAATAAAAACAACCTGAGATAATTATTAGTACAGCGAAAGAGGCAGCTACAATAAAGGCGCACAAAAGGTATAAGGGATGTAGGAGGAGAACTATTACAGTATTAGATCTACGTCCTTCCATTTGCCCTCCAGAAGACAGAACTCCGTATAACCATCGATTCTGTAGTTATGTCGTTTATGTGATCTGATATTCTCACAGCAGTGGTTATGAAGAGTTTCATCTTGTGTGACATAACGCCGTGTAGTCCGTTGTAAGTCAACCGACGTTTCGGGAGGAAAAATTCGCGTCCATCTTTGCTTGCTACCTGCTTCATGCTGGTTTCTTGCTTGGCGTTATATCTCAGAAAATTGAATTCATCACGTTTTTGGTACTATAAATGCTCAATAATTGGGCGGTGTGCGCACGTCGTCGTCGTGTTTATTAGTAACTGTTCCTAGGTGGCAGGACAATACGCATGACGCTCCACAGCCGGCCAAGAGCATGGGAGTTACACACAATTAGATGTGCTATCTATGTGTGTGCCTTAGATCCATTACACACCTTAGACCCATTAGACGCATTAGACTTCTGTGCGTTAGACCCCTTAGATGCCTTAGACCGCTACGCTATACGGCAATGAGCACGTCTGTGGATGCATCGTCACGGATTAGTAAATTCAAGTGATCCGCGCTAAACATCACACAATAAGTCGATTCACAAAAATCATAGATTGTTAGACACAAATTATGCGACCGAAAATTCGTTCGTTAATTTAACCGGTTTCCGTTAATGTGACAACAATCGCCGATTGGCCTACTATATTGTTAAGCGGTTGGCAACTGTTTTAGGAGTAGGCGTAGCGTGTATGCTGTGTAGCCCGCGTACGCCGTGTATGCTCCGTTTAGGGCTATTAGAGCCATTAGAGCTAAATGTATTAAGACCATTGAGACGTGCTTGTAATGTATGTACAGTTTAACGCAGATATTTTGAGAGTATACTGAAAATAATATTTCGTTGTTCTGGGTCTTTATTTTCCCCCCTGCAGTTATTGAAGTTGACCAAATCTCGTAGAAATTTGCTTAGAGGTTGGACACTGCGTGACTTTGCTATTGACTGCTATTGCTGCAGTCGTTTTCAGGATGCCGTTGTACGAAGGCATAGGTTTAACAGAAAAGCAGGCTGTTGTCATTGATATTGGTGCAGCATACACAAAGTAAGTAACTTGAGGTTGAAGGTTTATGTTGTGGAGGGTTATGTCGCATGTTCTTGTGTAGTTAACTTTGTGACTGTTAATAACAATATGATCAGACGTGTAGGGGAGGTGGCAGTGCGAAATGCTGCACCAGTTAAACTGGTGAAGATTGTTAGATCCTTTGCAATAAAAATAAACCCCAGTATCGTTTGTCTGAGTGGTGACTATCGATGGTTACTATTTTGGCGATTCACGAGGTGCATTTTTCAGTTCTTGGCCATGTCTCTGGTCAATAGAAGGTTTCGTCAGTTTCCTCAGTTCCTTCAGTTGAACGCCACGTTACTAACAAAATATGCCAAAGTAACTTTTTCACCTGCCCATTCCACAGAACCTTACATAGTTTTTCAATCAACTCCACTGACGCTGTATAACCACTGCTACTGTTAAATAAAGTTTGAAGTAGCAAATGACCATCTGTGTGTATACACACTGCTTTTCCATCTTGCGTTTGGATGCATGTGTCTCTCATTTACACAGATTACTGTGACACTCCTTCAGAACATTAATAACTTTAATTCTTCTAGGTTTGGATTTGCTGGAGAATCAGGACCAAGGTGTATTGTTCGGACAGAAATTAAGTGTCCAGAAACAAAGCAAGTGAAGAAAGTATTGAATTATTCAAGTGAAGAAGAATTATATGACCTCCTTGTTGAATTCATCCATGTCTTATATTTTAGGTATATAAATTGTGTGAGATGTTAATGTAGTGTTCTTTTATCTTATTTTTAAGCAACTTTAAAGGTGTTGCATACATTTATTTCAGGCATCTTCTTGTTAGTCCAAAAGATCGAAGAGTAGTCATTGTTGAGTCATTGCTTTGCCCAACAGCATTCAGAGAGACTTTAGCCAAAGTGCTTTTTCGGCATTTTGAGGTAGGTTATACTATTTACACTCATGAGATAATGCAAATTAAGACATAATACTTTAAAAGCAGATTGCAGACACATCTTTCCTTGTCCTTTCACCACATATGTATATATCCATATAACCCTGCTGATACAGGAAGCCAAATGTGTTATGTGGGCAGTCTTGTTCCCTGAAAACACATCACATTTGGAAGATATTCACTGCTTCCCATCAAGTTGGGCTGAGTGGCAAATTGTACATTTTGGATTTACTTTGGATTGATTCACACCATTCATTTCCTTGTTACCTTCAATGTGTACTCATTATCAGTGATATGCTGGTGGAAGCAGATTTTTGTTTTTCTGTTTGCCACCATGACCAGATTTAGGAGCCAGGATAGCGTCGGTATAGCGACTGGCTATGAGCTGGATAGCCGAGGGGTCAGAGTTCAAGTCTTGGTGGGTGTAAGAATTTTCACTTCACAATGTCCAGACTTGCTCTGGGGTCTACCCAACTTAATGGGTACCAGGTGCTCTTTCCCTGGGTATAAGGCGGGCAGGGCGTGAAGCTGACCACTCACGTCCAACTAGTGCTGAGGTCAAGAAAATGTGGATCTATCCATCCACTCCCCATATGCCTTCATGGCATAGTGCTTAATTAGTTAAGCACAGGCACAACTTTACAACTTTACCTTTTTATGTCACCATGACCAGATTTGCTCTCGAGCTAGGCATCTGCCATCCCCTATCTTATAAAAAGCCAAAATTAAAAAGATGATCTACAAAATACTAATACCAACAGTTAGAATTTAAAAGAAACATTTTATCCTCAATACCCTTGGACAGTCAGCACAGTTAGTTTTAAAAAGGTTAAATTTAAGTTTGTAAATACATTTCCTGACCAGCCCCTTTGGAAGAAATTGTGGTGGCACCCATGTTCTAATATCCAGTTACTTGAAATGGATGTTCACAACATTACATTCAGTGTGTCTTTGATCAGAAGTATTAATTCTCTGAGCCCCCCAAGAGACATGGAAATTGTTACCAAAGTTCAAGATTTGTTAGTTATGAGGGTCGTACTGAAAGTCATGAGCAACAATTTGTTGTAAAGTAACATGTTTTATTATTGACAAACCAAATACACCACCTCAATCTACAGACCTTTCTTTATTTTTCCACATAATCGCCACTTCTTTGTACACATTTCTCCCAGCGTTCTGGGAGTTTGAAAATTCCCCTTCTGTAAAATTCTGTTCCAGCCATCCGAAGACACTGATGCACTGCTTTTGGAATTGCTTCCCTTGTCTCAAAACGTTGTCCACACAGCTGATCCTTCACAAATCCAAAAAGATGGTAGACTGAGGGTGCCAGATCAGGGTTATAGGAGGGGTGTGGAAGAACTTCCCACCCCATCTTTGCAATTGTTTCCAATGTGAGGCGAACGGCGTGGGGGGGGGCGAGTGTTATCATACAGGATGATTATGTTTTGTCCCGGACGTTTATCGCACAATGCAAAACGGAGCTTGTGCAGCGTCTGGACATAACGAGCAGCATTGATGGTTTGCCCAGGTTCCAGGAATTCGGCCAGAATAAACCCCTCTGCATCCCTGAAGACTGTGCCCATCACCTTCGCAGCTGATGGCACTGTCTTTGCCTTCTTTTTTAATGGAGAATGCAAATGGTGCCATTCCATACTCTGCTGTTTCAATTCAGGCTCGAAATGGTGAAACCAGCTTTCGTCACCTGTCACAATACAGAGTAAAAAATCATTGCCTTCGTGTCAATATCTCAGCAGCAGTTCTGAGGTGATGGCATTTTGCTGACCTTTGTGGTCTTCGGTCAATAACCGCGGGACCCAACGAGCACAAACTTTCCTATAGCCCAAGCTTTCAATCATCTCCTGTACTGCACTGTGCCCTATTCCAAGTTTTTGGGCTATTGTGCCCACAGTCACATGCCTGTCATCTTGAATGATCTCATCCACTCTTTTCTTGTTGCATTCAGTTGAGGCTGTTCGAGGACGACCGCTCCGAGGCTCATCTTCGATTCTGGTGTTCCCATCTTTAATATGTTTCACCCATCTTCGAACACCGCTCGCACCCATGTACACACTCCCATAAGCACGCTGAAGTCTCTGGTGAATTTCTGTAGCAGGGATTTCCTCTTTCACAAGAAATTCGATGACAGCACGCTGGTGAAACGACATATGGTTGTCGGCCATTTTGTTAGGACTGATGCTGGTCACGTGATACAAGCTATTGATGTCACAAGACACTCAAGGTTAACACAACAGCTGGCTCCACCCACCACCATACTCTCTTTTGTCTGCTGTTCCCAGGTTGCGTGCAAAAAAAGTTGCTCATTACTTTTGGTATGACCTACATATTAACATTAGACCTAGAAACTGATAATATTTTTGCCTCATGGAAGAAAACCAAGGATTGAATCACTTTTGTTTTGTCTCTGGTTATTACAAATACCAAACAGAATCTGAAATGGACATTGACAACTTTCAAACCATTATTTTGATTAAATATTCCAGTAATTATGATTCAAAATATGCCTCCTCCCTAAAATTTATTTGTATTATAAATATTTTGATGTGAAAGTAATGGGTATCTGACTTATTTTTCTCAAAGGTAAGAAGCTAGCTTTATCCTTGTCCACACTTTGAAAGCATACAGGGGTCATGTGAATGCCAATCATTTTTGTCTTAGACACATTCTAGAGATGAGTGGTCAGTTACATGTACTGAAGGCTGAGTCAAAGGTACCCACTGAATGGCAGGCTTGGTAAGCATCAGAATCATCCTGAGTGTGAACAGAAGAATCACAAAACCCAAAATTTCTATTGTCTTGATAATTATTTAGGTTGTGGACCTTGTGTACTTACAGGTTTCATCAATATTGTTTGTTCCGTCACATTTGGTGTCACTCTGCACTCTTGGTGTCAACACTGCCCTCGTCCTTGATGTGGGGTATGTGGAGGCAATTTTGATACCTGTGTTTGAAGGTGTACCTGTGCTGCATGCATGGCAGGCACAGCCTCGGGCTGCAGAGGCTGTTCAGAGGTGACTTATAATATATCTATGTGTAAATTTCTTTGATCAAAAGATAGTAATCCAGTTAAATTTACATCACACAATTACCATGCTTGTAAGTAGGTAATAGTTTTATGTTGTAAAAAGTAGATTCATTTTTATCTGTCACAAAAACAAAACAAAATATGCTTTAAAAAGAGTCGAGAATATTTTCAAGTACCATCTTTACCTAAAGTAATCACCAAAAATCATCATTAACTCAAACAGAAAGTGAAGTACTGTTACAGTGAATCACAAAAGTGATCCTTAAGTTGTGTATCGTAAATCTGTGTCGCTTATAACAGAAGAGTGATTTGTATTGCAAAGATATATATTCTACATCACGTGATACCTGTCTTGCATTCTTATAACATACAATGTTACTAACACTCAAGTCTTTCAGGGCTGTCCCTCTAATGCACATGAAACATAGCACGTGACTTTAAATTATTTATTCTTATTGAAACGAGAAGAATTTTTGTTTTACTGCACAGCTTCTTAGCTGTTGATTTTGTTTCATTTCTCTTAAATTTCAACTCACTTGAACTGATAAAGTTGTAAAATATATTGTCAGCATCACACAATATCAGTTCACCACAGCACGTCCTACATACCACCGTGGCCCTTCATTGAAAAAAAACACACACAGAGGGAGAGAGAGAGAGATGGATGCACAGCCAACTACACAAGATATTTTCCATACCAGCAGTAGAAAAATAGGGCTTCCATTATGTTTATATACCTTTTTAACTGATACTGTCAGATTATTTTTAACAAAACAACTTATATTAGCCTGCTCTAGACCAGTTATTGGGCCCACCCCATAGGTACCAGGAGCTCCTTTCCCTGGGTAAAGCTGCTGGGGCATGAAGCTGACCACTCATCTCCAGCTAGGGCTGAGGTCAAGAATACATGGATCTATACACCTATCCCCCTGGCCCCAAACAACTCCACAGCATAGTGCTTAATTAGTTAAGTGCAGGGACAATTTTACTTTTTTTTTTTCCTTTGATTTCTAATGACAGAGACCCCTTTATGAATATCCATGTTTATCATATGTATAAAGTATCCCTTTGTAGTGTTGGCTGTGCCTTTCAATGATGGCCAGTAGTGGCTGAAACATGTAAAGGCAGTCTTATATTACATTTGCTATATTTGATGAGCTTGCTACTCATTCATCTGTTTCACCACAGTTAAATTAGAAGGCTGGAGTATTATGAACAGTCTTCATAAATATCTGTAGCAGCCAACATCAAGCACCAAACAGCGGTGGTTTAGATTTCATTCCAATTTCAGTACTGACTAGACAACAAACAAATGGCTGATTCCTCATCTGTCAACAAGTGTCACTTATGCTCTTCTTATACATGAATTGTTGGAACCCTGAATGGGGGATTCCCACGTCAAAATAGAGAAGATTACTTACCAGATGATGTGTTACTTGTCTTGATATTCTGATAACAGACTGTGCAGATGTGTGCAATATTCATTTATCCATTCTCTGTGATGTATGTTATGCAATATTATTTACGTATCCCAAAATATATATTTATATGTACGAAATGTGGAGATGCATGTGTTTAGGTGACACAAAACTCTCTATACAGAAGCACTAATCACACATAACTTGAATGTTCTATTGATTTTTGAGAGCTTAAACAGCTGCAAAACATTTTTTTTTTTTTGATGTAGAAATCCATTCCCTACTTGTAAGCAGTTCAGTATCCTACTGCCAAGCCTAATATATAGTCTTTGCCAAAATACAAGGTAGATTATGTTTAAAGTAAAATATTTTGGTTATTACTACTTTTTTTTTTTTATAATGGCTTGTTACAAGTGGATCAGCGTGCTGTGGCTGACCTTTTGGAAATCGAGGTAAACTGCTACTGTAGGGGTTTCTAACATGTCTCATCTTCATGACGTTATAAAAGATGCAGTCATTTGTAGTGGACATATAATACAAGAAATTTAATCACAAAGTAAAACATCTTAAACAGCTTCACAAGCTTATGTATCCTTACAAATCTGAGGAACAAAAATTATACATAACAAATGTCAATGACAGTAAGCTATTTAGCATTATACCAAAGGAGATTTAGAATAATGACACGTGAACAGAATTTCATACCAAGGTTGATATGAGATGCGTGGCTTATGTGACAGTTGCAGTTTTTTTTTTATGTTTCTTGCTCTTTGTTCAAGTTCACTGAAGGCTTCTTTGCTGAATATTAACAGCGAGAAAGAGGACTTTCCTGAATCTACAATAGAGGATATAAAAGGTTGGTGTATTAAAAATCTTATTTTACAGCAAATAAAAAGAGATCAGTTGCATGAAAAGTGGCTGTTCTGTTCAATGTGTAATGAACTGTATCATTCACATTGACTTTTGACTTTAAAAAATAGTTAACAGAATTTTATAAAGTACAAAATTTGTGAGTTTCATTATTACAAGTACATATGCCCACTGTTGCCCAGTAATCAATGGCAACATTTACTATTCCATTTTTGTTTCAGTGCGAACATGCTTTGTAACCAGCTTGACCCGAGCTACACAACTAGAAGCAGTCGACCAACCTCCGGATGTTGTGTACCGAGAGGGTGGCAGTGAGATAGTCCATATCCCCGGGAAAGTGAGAGAGACTGTATATGAAGTATTGTTCGAACAGGATAATGACCAGATGTCTGTTTCTACAATGATCCTTGATGCAATTATTAAGGCAATATACTTTATCTTATCTTCAGATATAACTACATATCACATAAAGTTAGCAGAGTGGAGAGAAACAGACAATTTACCAGCTGAGTGGCTCAGTGTTGAGGTATAACTGATTGTCCCCTCCAACTGCCCGGTATACACAAACATATATATATTTTTCCCCTTGGCACTACAGCCCCAGTGGGCCTAGGCCTACCTCCATGAACTTCTCTGTTCACTTCGGTTTTTCTAGATCTTACACATTCAGTAGGACTCCTTGGGCGGGTGATCAGCTCGTCGCAAGGCCTCTACCTGTACACCAACACAGAAAATCACANGTTGTTCTGCATTAGCACTCAGCATTATTCCGACGGAGCTCAGAAACACGATCCGCTTCTAACAATGGTCGCAGCCAGACTAACCGATGCACGTGAATGAAACTTTGTGTGACGGTAGAGGGAAGTCCAAGGGTCAATGCCCTACCCTCCTCTTCGTCAATGACGTGGCCGGAAATGAGTCATAAAAGTAATCCGGGTTCTTTATTGCCACACCTTGTATGTTTCAGAAGGTTCTGGTGTTGTAATGCAGTGATAATAGTTGTTTGATTGACTATAGTTTTTATCCTGGGGATCCACCAAGGATTTATAGCCAACCAGAACTAGAGAAAGCTGGTAATTACATGATGGCATGATTCTTACATCGCACAATGTAGCATTTCAAAAAATAAAAAACCTGCTCTAACCTCAGGACTGACTGCATGTATGTAAGTTTAGCTCTTCCTGTATTGGTAGACAAAGAAACTAATCAATTATGATGTTCCATCTAATGCAACACAGAGAATATATAACATTCAGTTGGTTTTTTTAAAATCACAACATGTTTCAACCATTTTCAGCCCCAAAGGGACTGATACTGCCTACAATACCATGTAAATATTGCGCATAGTGAATAAGTAGTGAATAAAGTTAAAGTTTTAGTCTTGAAATGGTGCGTGATTCATAATTAGTGTCTTTCCTGTCTTGTTGAAACAGGGTGTTCTATAAAGCCCTGAAAGGAGATCTTATGTTCTACTTGACTGACTGGCATATTAACGCAACACCTTTCCTTAGTATCTACCATGTAACCTAAGTTGCTGGCTCCCAAACTGCTCCCATTCCTCATAAGTACCTGCTGCAGGAGGCAGCAATGATAATGACAATTAACGGTGAGAAAATAGAGGAAGGTGAGTCATTGAGTACAAAGCAATCAAGCAGCAAAAGAGATGGTATGGTGCGGACAATACACAAAGCAATGAGTAGTAGGGGGAACACTGACCCATTCAGTTTGCTATGACTGTTGCTGTCATGTGGATTGCTACCATCTGCTGGCTGTCATACAGTCTTCTTTTCCACATTTGTCAGTGGAAATAGTCAAACTGTGTCGATAACAGAAATTTCTTAAAAAGAAAAAGGATATAGATCAGAATTTTCCCACAAAAGAAAGTTTTGCAGAATTAATCAAGGCTATTTTAATATGTGAATGTTTAGACTGGAACAGGTTAAGAGCCATATTCTACATATTATTGTTTTGCTTTTCATCTAGATCACTAGTTCTGCTGCTGTATATCAACACATATAAGAGCCAGTATGTTTGCCCAGGAGCCTCACCTGTGCACTGTACAATAATGCAGTCTGTCCTCTGTATTGCTGTTCGAAGTTTAATGTTACATTTAAACTGCACTGAATTTGTAAACAGTAATATGCCTATATAACAAGCGAGGAGACTTTCTGTTGGATTTTCAACAGGCATTACACTAGTCATTTCATGTAAATTGGTACCTGATTTGTAATGTTGGTTTCAAAACTTCTCAGTGTCCAATAGATATGAGAAAGCCCCTTGCAGAGAACATCCTGGTGATAGGAGGCACAGCAATGGCCCCTGGATTTAAGGCAAGACTTCTGGATGAACTGAAGCACCTCTTGCAGCAACCGAAATATGCATCCAGACTAGCACTTAAAACCTTCAAATTTCACAAGCCACCAGCCAAAGAGAACTATGTTGCCTGGCTTGGAGGTAAGGACTCTAAACACAAGGCTACATATTCACATTTAATTAAGTTTCTTATTTAATACAGTTTTCTGGGTCGCTTATGTGAGTTCACCCCTGGATCCCCTGTTTGTGATCCAACATATGAGCTTAATGATATGTTCAAATCCAGATGCCTGTTCCTTTATGTCATGATGGTTAACTTTCTGTGCTGAAAACTGTACCAACTGTAGGCTGCAGTGCTTACTGGAAATCTCTGAGATATCCTTTTGTCAAGAATCATTATTAATATTTTTATAGTCTTTATCCAGAGTGAAAACTCATGTTCTTCATTTGGAGAACAGCTTGGCTGTCATCTCTCATTATAACAAAACCAAAAATCACCCTTTTTCTTCTGTGACATATTACTGCTCAGATTTTGTCCCTCTTAATACCACTTGGTCCACCAAATTCTCAACTTAAACCCCGTCTCAAATTTATGTGGTAGAATCAAGTCATTGTGAGCTTACCTTTGTCATGGTGGGTTCTATTCCATGCCACCTTCAGTCTAGCCCTATTTATGGAAAATAACTGCCTGTACATGATATTGTTGACACATTTTTCTGGATTGCACTTCTGGCAAACAACACCCTGGTTGGGTGTTAAAGAACACCTCTAGCATAACTTCCTTTTTGAGCAGTCTGCATAAGGTCTGCTCTTAGGATTAAGAGAGCGACTTCCAGTGAGGGTCTTAATCAGAAAGTTTATAAGAAAGTTTTGCCCAGTTATATTTAAAACTTATTGCTTATTCATTCTTCAAAATGTGATATCCTGGTGCATCCAGTCCTGAAAATACCACCTTTGTCAAACCAGATGGAATTTAACCATCTGTACACTAACTCCACATGCCAGAACATATCACAGTCCATGTCTTCCATACGTAGCCAGATGTAGTTATATGTGAAGACTACCATAGATACTGCTTCCTTCAGTGACTATTGAGAAAGTTGATGAATTCTTGTACTAACCGAAGTCAAAACCCATGTAGATCAACAGAACTGAAAACAGGCATAGTGTATGAAAGAACGTCCATACTGGCTTCCCATTTCTCTCACTTTCAGAAGAATATGATGCCATTCACAGGCAAGAGAATGCGTAGATTTGGAGGAAATCATCTGTAATAGATATGCATAAACTTATGGGATTTGAGGTTCTCACAGTGGGGGTTATGAGGAGCACTATCTTCTGAGATATAACACAATGTAGTCCATTAAAATTCAGAGGAACATATCACCTTCATTTTTAGGGTTGAGGCATAAGCTGAGCAAAGAAACCAGCATTATATCCCCAGAAGATAGCACTCTTCTTGTTTAAACTTGGTGATAAAGGGATTTATACTGTAAACAGTGTGACGCCAGACCTGCTGAAGCAGGTTAATGTAGTTACACATGTACACCACATAAATTAGTGACACTCATTTGCACATGAGAGATTCCTTTTTTATGAGGTTAAGCTCTGCATATTTTCAGACCTATAGAAAGGGTTGTTGTAACATTAAATAGGATACTGGACAGACCCCAGAGTTGCCTTGGACATTATTTCAGTCATGTGAAAGCTCTTGCCATTATATAAATTGTATCTTATTAAAGGTGACATGAATACAGTAATATATATATTTCCATGATCAGACTTTGTGTTCCACTTTTTTGCTGTCTGTGCAACATTGGTCAATATTCTCCTGTCATCTTCTCTATATTGACACTACAAGTGATGCTGAAATATGTAGTACCAATAAATATAAGAGGAGAAAATATTAACCGACATTGAACACATATGACAAAAGACCAGAACACAAAGTAGCTCTACACAATGCAACATGATGCTGCAATTTAATATTATGTATTTCTGTGCTGTAAATACAAAGGATATATTTATTTCCATTCTCTATAGTACTTACTGCAGTAAACAGCTAAAGTTAAAGCAGTTGCTCTGGCCCCTTAGTGAAAGTATTCAAAAGGAAGAGCAGTGTTATGTTTGCTTATATCACAGCTTGGAAAGTGGGACGGGAGTGTGATTTAGGGATGGAGATCAACAGAAACAGCAGTGCACCTCTAATGCTAGGTTATGTTACCTGCTAAATGTTGTCATATGTCACTTGAACAGGAAACAGGAAAAAGACATGAGGACATCAGCTGCTCACACTGTAGCATGGAATTGAGTCTTCCTTAAGATCTGTTGCAGGCAAAGTGGTCAGAAAAATTTGCTGCCTTTCATAAACTCAAAATGTTCATTCTCATGTTCACAGGAGTCTGTCAGTGGATTCTATCCTGAGCCAAATTAATTCAGCATAACATATTTTAACAGGGCTCATTTTCATATGATCCATCCATCTACACCAAGACCTTGCAGGTGGTGTCATCAACAGGAACACCATAATGTAATGTCTTTCCCATGCTGCATGTGATGCCCCAGACATCATCCTTGATTTGAATCCTGTAATAATAGTGGTGATGAGTACTTAATAATTAAGCTCCTGGTTGCTCTATTTCCGGACACCCTCCACATTTAAGACCAGTAATTAATTAATTTCTTTGATTACAGGAGCTATCTTTGGAGGAACAGATATGATCTCAACACGCTCTCTCACCAAAGAAGCATATGTGAAACACAGTAGTTTACCAGACTGGGCTGACTTGTCATACAATTGCCGGGAAGAAGACAAGATATCATTATGAAGAATCATAATATTGTCACATGATAGATGATAGATTGGTTTTGGATTGATTCAACACTTTTACATCTCATGACTACATTTCACAAACCACTATCACACACAGACTATGCTTAGTCATGTTGCTTGGTAGCAGCTTTGAATGGTGGATGTTCTGCTCCTTATATTTAAATGTGACATTTATTTATGTCATGAGTTCTTATATTTCTGTAATCTATTTCAAATTAGTACAAATAAAAGAAGTAACATACAACAGAAGCTATTCTCATATAATGTGTGAGTAAATAAGTGTGTCACTGAATATAACCTCTTTAGTATATCTCTGATTTTGTAGCCTTGGCATGAAGGTATACCGTGTTAGGAAGCAGAATATTTAAATGGGAGCTGAAGATTTGAAGTGGGTCATAAATAGGCACCATTGTTGTGGTACTTAGAATACCGAAGTTTAGATTTTAGTACTGACTACTACAAGCCGGAAGGTCGCAGGTTCAAGTCTCGATGAGGTCATTGGATTTTTTTCAATTGACCTAATCCTTCCAGCTGCACTAGGCCCTGGGGTTTACTCAGCCTCTAACAGAAAGAGTACCAGGAATTAATTAAATAATTTTCCTGGGGAGTAAAGCACGGCCAGCGTGTAAGGCTGTCAACCTTACTGCCATCTTTGAGCTGACTGTCTAGATAGTGTGGGACCCTCAACATCTCACAACCCTATGGGCCTTCACGGCCTGATACAGGGATAGCTTTACTTTTTACTGATGACTACAGAATAGTTCCATGGCAACAACTTAACCTGGCTGCAATACTGCAGCAGAAATTGGACTGTTGGCCACTCAAGGACTCTACTGCCTGAGTTACTCAGATGTAAATATTCCTGCAATTTCACTAGATGAGTGTCTGCAGCGAATTCCCAGGCGGGACTAGCATAAGTCATTACGGATCTAATATGAGCTTTGTGGAGGGTCAGTTTAATGTTAGCGCTCAATCGGTTACTTTTGAATGGGGAATATACTCTAATGAATGTTCTGAAGGCCTTGGCTTCGATCATTTCTATGTGCAATCTCCATGTAAAGTCAGAGTCAAAGTCTCATTGCAACTGACGGTCAGTCAGTCAGTAATTCTTGATGTTGAACCCCATGATATTTATTGCTGTTTCACAGTTACAATCTTGTTTTCATGGGGCACCCTCTCTGACGAGAGGATGGGTCTGTATTTTGTATATGCTGCCGGCCCTTGCCAGTGCAGTCTTTTTCGGTTTCGAGTCCCTTGGGATTCGTGACCATATTTTACTGTCTCAGATTTCAGACTTCCCTTTTCATCACCTCCTACGTCTCGCTGGGTCACAGTGGAGGTATTCGACCCTGCCTCCAAACGGGTGAACCTCAACTCTACTAATCTCCATGTAATTCCGTTGGTCCTCGTTATATAACATCAGCACAGACTGGATAGAGAACAGTGTCTGTAACATTTGAGGCTTTCACGGCGGTGACTATGAAGAAAGCAGTCTTCTGGGATTTGGCACCATGTATATGTGGTGTTAATCTTCGTGTCTGTAACAGTTCCTTTATTGTTGCTTGAGTATGTTGCCGCCGGAATGAGTTTACCGAGCTGTTGTCTAGCAATAGGCATCTCCTCTGGCTTCAACATTTCGGCTGTAAGGCGTTCTATCACAATATCAATATTGTAATGTGGATGGCCAGAGTGTTGCCAGGTAACGGACCCGTTAACACCTCACGACCAAATACACGCAAGGCAACAATTGAAAAATCACAGTTTCTATGCAATGACCTGTAAACAACCTTCAGTTGAGTGCGTTACAATAGGAGTCAAGAATGAAAGGTGTTAGTGGGGGGTGGAGTCCAACTGGGTCCACTCGGCACGGCGGCTACGGATTGGCCTATTGTAGCCTGCCCTGGGTGATTATGATGGAGAATTTGGTGGAATGGAGATTGGCAGGGGAAACCTAAGTATTAGAAGAAAACCTGCCCCAGTGCCACTTTGTCCACCACAGATCCCATTTGACCAGACCCAGGATTGAACCCGGGCCGCTTGAGCTATGGCGTGGCTCTGTTTTAGTAGGGAAGTGACCTATGTTTCCCTGACACATTTCAGATAGGGAGTCTGCTTATGAGGTAAAATTTATTCTTAATTCCTCCTTATCTTTCATGGATTTGACCTGTTTCAATTTCATAGCCTGCTCTTAAATAGTCTTCCTATTTGCCTGTATACCATTTAGAAATTTATTATCATCATCCATTGTGTTCAAGTGGGTAAAAGAATTATGCTTTGTAATTATCTGATCTTTAATTAAATTAATAAGTATTTCGTTCCTTTTGTAATTCCCCTTTGGAACCAGGGACTCACAGCCATTATAGTGACAAGCTGAAAGGAAAGTAGGCTAAAAAGGAGGCATATGAGTTCATCTTCTGTCCATGTGTCTTTGTATCCTGTTACTGTGGTTAGGCAACGACTCAGTAAACATGTTCCCTGGTCATTACTAGGGAACACATTCCCCACCCCCCATGACGTTAATAGTTTCTCGCTTGTCTCTTAATGTAACACAGTTTCTGAAACGCATAGGTTGTGTGTTGTTGACGTAGGTGGGTTGATAATATTACAATGGTGTATGTTTAGCTGGAGCATTTGTGATAAAAACTGCCACAATATTAGGTGAATCAAGAGTGACAGTTTCTAAGGTTATGTCAGCATACATAATTCATGGGAGCAAAGAGGAACAGTGGGCAAAAGTCAACATTGATGAAAGAGGTCATCGTACATTGAGAAGGATCGTTTCGAAAAATCAAATTACTACTGTAGCACAGGTGACAACTGAATATTCGTCTTGAAGAACCTGTTTCCACAAAAACTGTCTGATGTGAGCTTCACCAATCCAACATCCATGGCTGCAACTGCTAAACTTCTGTTACTGAAAGCAATGCTCAGGTGCGTAAACTATGGTGTCAGACCATAAAACCCGGACATCAGACAACTAGAAACGTGAGTGTGATACTGTCAGGAGTCGTCCTTCACACTGTTCTCTACATCAGGAATAGTTTACATGTGGAGAACACCTAAGGGAGCCTACAATCCAGAATGCCTGGTTCCAGCGGTGAAACATGGGGGAGGTTCTGCGATGGTTTGGGCAGCAATATCGCAGTACAGTATTCTGTTGGTCCCATTGTTACCCTTCATGGCTGAATTACTGCAAGGGAATATATGTACAGGTTGGCTAATCAGGTGCATCCATCCCATGATCCAGATGTTACTTCTGTACAATGATGTCCCTTTTCACACAGCTGGAGCTGTTGTCATGGTTTGAAGAGCATGAAGGTGAACATCAGCATCTTCCCTGGCCAGCACAATCACCAGATTTGAACATCATTCAACCAATCTGGTCAGTTATGGAGACTAGAGTGAGGAACGAAGTCTCACCGCCAACATATCTATAGCAACTTGAGGATGCTCTTCAAGAAAGGTATAAAATTCTGCTTCAGACTGTTCAAAACTGGTATGAGTCTATTCCAAGGACTGTGGCTATGTTGAAGGCAAAAGGTGGGCCAGCACCATGTTAATAAAGAAATGTGTACAGTATCCGTATAGTGTTTCCATTATTTTGTCCAACCCCTGTATGTCTCTTTCTGAACACATCTGAAGCACATTATCCACTAATAATGACAGATTAATGACAGTCCCTCCTTGTAACATATCTGTAGCAATGGTAACATAGTCATACAAACATTAATTTTATGAGATTTTCACAATAATGACAGAGTTCACATTGTGGTATTCAGGGTTGAAATACTGTGTAGTCTTGCAGGTGAGTACCAGTGTTTCAGACAAATCTGCTAGGTTGACACTGAAGATGGAGGCAATAGGTTCCTTCAAAACAGTGGTATCTACTTATAAGCCTACACTGCGCCATAATCCAGAAGACAACATACAATATTTTTCTACATTTTAAACAATGCTAACAAGTTTAAAATTCATCCATCTTCAACATCCAATAAATTTCATGGGATTCACAAAACAAACTGTCACAAACCCCCAGAATGCTAGGTGTTGCAAGATACTGTGTACCAGGGGGAGATAATACACCAGACTGAATGTGTCATTCTCTTCCTATAAACGGGTAATATACCATAGAACATGATATCCTTCTTTGCCAGTTCTATTACAATCAAAAAAACAAAATCCGTGGGCTTAGTCCGCAAGTAAACTATACCGACAGTGGCTCCAGTCTAGAAAACCGAAATTAACGGCCGTGGGGATTCATTGAGCCAAACACATGACACCCTCTATCCACTAAAGTTGGCACTAACTTTGCCAACAAGTAGCAGTCGCTCGGTCAGTCTATTACAATCATAACTGAAAATTAATTTTACTTTATCTCCTCCAGAATCATTTTCTCACAAGTACAAGATAAAATTACAGAGGAAATTAAGATGTCATGCCATTGCTCAAGCAGACATATTACTCACACAAAGAAATGCCAATTCTTTACAGCACTTCAATATGGCAAACTACAGAAATTTCCTAGAATTTTAAATAGCTTTCATGTGGACCCCATTTACGTGAGGAGTGCACAAAAGTTGTTAACATTACACAGGAGTCTGTTTCTTCTTCCCACACATGTATACAACTACCACAAAGTTAAAACTCTGTATTGAGATAACAAAAAAAAGAAAAGGAAATTTCCCAGGGTCCTCAACATTAACCGTTCTCAACCAAAAATTTATCATGGACACATTCGTGGGGGGGGGGGAGAGTGTATGAAAGCCATACTCAGTTTAAAAAAATTCCCATCTTGATATTCCAAAATCTATAAGGAGCTTCAAACATCACTCAATGTGTGAAAAGCATTTAGGTATTAAATTTATTCAGGGTATGGAGACAATTTCATATTACCAAATCTGAAAAAAAGAACGTGGCAACATCTTAAGTTTGGTTACTTATGATTCTCCTTCATCATTCACAAGAACAACTGACTGTTACAAAGTAGAATTGCTGT